GAAGGGTCCAGGGCCCCCGCAGACTAGGGAGGGGGCAGAAAGTGCAGGTTCTTCGCCTGGGATCCGGAGCCCCCAAGCGCAGGTGCTGCTCCCTGACCAGGGAAGCGGCGTGGCGGGGCCGTGGATCCCGTCTCCCTTGCTCACAGCCCTCTCCCCAGAGGCCGACACCCCTTTCTAGGATTTTCTGTGCATATCCAGGCATATAGGCCATAGCTCCATTCGGAGAGCATCCCACACGATTCTGCACTTTCCTATTTACTGAGCCTTGGCAGGACCCTACCTTGTTCTCGATGGCTACGCTCTAGGGCGCCTGCGTGGCTCAGTTGGTCAAGCGCAGTCTGCCTTCAGCTCAGGTCAGGTCATGAGCTCCGGGGTCCTGGGATCGAACCCCATCCATGTCAGGCTCCCTGCTCAACAGAGAGCCTGCTTCTCCCTCTCCCCTTCCCCACTGCTCCTCTCTGGCTCCCTCAAATGAATAAAAAATCCTTTTAAGGGCCACCTGGGTGGCTCAGTGGGTTAAGCCTCTGCCTTTGGTTCAGGTCATGATCTCAGGGTTCAGGGATGGAGCCCCACATCAGGCTCTCTGCTCAGCGGGGAGCCTGCTTCCCCCTCTCTCTCTGCCTGCCTCTCTGCCTACTTGTGATCTCTGTCAAATAAAAAAAATCTTTTTAAAAAAATCTAAAAAATAGCTACACTGTTTCTCTGAATGTACATACCATAATTTATCCAGTAAGATGAAACGTTTGGAAGATTATTTGAGGGTATGGGCAATGCGGGCCAAGGACAGAGAAGGGAAGAACCTCTGCCCGGAACCTATGGCAGAAGTCCCCCTCTTCTCTCCCCTGAACCACGGCCCCTAATCTGGGCCGTGGAAAGCACGTTGGCAGAAGCTGACCGGGATCTGAGCAGCAGAGACCAGGCGGTCAAAAGACCTAAGTGAGACCTCTAGAGCTGGCTGTGGTCAAAGGGGCCTGCGGGCGAGCCTGCTGGGCACGTTTCCTGTTAAACCGAACTGAGATGCCCCTATGCGCTGGAGGTGGAGGCAAACAGAACCCTGGGCTCAGATACGGACCCCACGGCAGCCAGGTAGCAGAACCACAGCACTAAGCAGCCGCAGCCCCACCTCCAATGCCCACAGAAATACAGCCTGGGGCCAGAGGAGCACACCCTAGGCCTCCCGGCATACGGCATACATACAGTCGGCAAGGACGTGATCATAATACGGTCATGGTGACAGAAAGGGTCAGAAATCACAATCTTCTCCGCTGGGAATAATCTACTGAGCACAGGTGGCAGAGGCTAAGAGATTTGCAAATGTCACAACTGCCTTGGGAGAGGGGTACACAGGAGGAAAGCAGGGCCCCGAGGAGTAAAATCACTGGCCCCAGCGTGCAGAGCAACACATCCACGGAGCACAGGGTCCCAACCACCCCATCCTCTCCACACCAAGCACCTGGCAGGGACTTGGCAAACAAAGGGTCCTAAGTGAGCTGCCCCTGACTTCCCCCACCCAGGTCTGTGGATGCAAGTGACACACAGAGGAGCCCGTACGCTTGGCTTGAGGTAGGGGGATGAGAAATGGGAGCCTGGGGCCACAGGCCCACATGGCTCCTGGGCCCCCATCCCTGCAGTGGAAGACAAAAATAACCACAGATTTCCCGGGGTGCTTCTTAGCAGTGTATGAAGTTGTGCATTTTTTTTTTTTTAAAGATTTTATTTGTCAGAGAGCAAGAGTGAGCACAGGCAGAGAGAGTGGCAGGCAGAGGCAGAGGGAGAAGCAGACTCCCTGCTGAGCAAGGAGCCCGATGTGGGACTAGATCCCAGGACGCTGGGATCACGACCTGAGCCGAAGGCAGCCGCTTAACCAACTGAGCCACCCAGGCGTCCCTGAGGTTGTGCATTTTTAATTAAAAAGTAGATATGTTTTGTTACTAGCAACCTTTTTTTTTTTAAGATTTTATTTAAGAGCAAGCGAGGGAGTGGGCAGGGGAGGAGCAGAGGGAGAGGGAGAGACAAGCTCCAGTAGACCGCGCTGCGCACAGAGCACGACGTGGGGCTGGATCCCAGAACGCAGAGATCACGACCCGAGCCCAAACCAAGAGTCAGATGTTCAACTGACTGAGCCACCCAGGTGCCCCCAGAAACTTTTTTTTTTTAAAGGTTTTATTTATTTGAGAAGGAGGAAAAGGGAGAAGCATGCTCCCCACGGAGCAGGGAGCCCAGTGTGGGGCGCGGTCTCAGGACCCAGAGAACATGACCTGAGCTGAAGGCAGACACCCAACCATCTGAGCCACCGAGGTGCCCCCAGAAACTTTTTTTTTAACAAAAGGAAAAGTAATCAAAAGCAAGAGTTGATAAAGCAGGCCGCCTGCTCAGAGGAGTGCTGGGTAGAGTGCGTGTGAGGCCCCACCTGACCCTCCACCCGACGGGGAGCACCAGGTCACATGAGGACAGCGGTGTCCACACATACCAGGTAATCCTCCGTCTCCGCAGGGCGCGTGTAGCTTTCCCTGAGAACCACCCCACACGCTCCACTCCTCCCACGGCGGGGGTCAGTCAGGAGAATCAATCCCCGGCCTCCAACCCGGCGTGCCTTCCCACTGTGTTTTCTTCACACAAATCAAACAAAACTAGCATCTTATTTTAACTTGAATACTAGTTTTCTATGAAAGAGAAAATGAAAAAGCATAGAAAAAGGTCATTTTATTATACCTTTTGTTTGCTGGGATATCAGTGCCCTTTTTAAAACCCTACTATTCAAGTACAAAGGGGTATGTTTACAAAGTATTTACAATTTCAGTCTTCTTCCTTTATATTTGAAACGTGAGAGCCGTGTGGTGACACAGGGGACAGAAAGTGAAGACCGCCTGCAGGCGAGCCCCGCCTCCGGGGCATCACGTGGGAAAAGCCCCAGCCCAGCCCCCTGGAAAACAGCCCAACCTCGGTCAGAGCTGGCAGCTGCCCCCACTGCGCCGAAGGAGGGAGTCGGACAACGCTCCGGCGGTGGGCCTGACCGCCGGTCCCGCATGCTATCCTGGCCGGGGTGCCGGTTCTTGGGCCATGCGGGAGTCTGCGGACAGAACCACCCCACACTTGCGTGGAGCTCAGAAAGGACAGTGGACCCCTGACAGCAGAAGACGAAGAGAACCACAGCCGGGGAGGAGGAGGTTTCCTGGAGCAGCTGGTGAAGCCGGGGGCCACCGGTGCATCTAAGTCGGACAAAAGCCAACAGTCCGCCCTGGGTCCCACGTAAGCAGCCAGGGAAGGATGCGGCCTCGCACACGAGGACCGCTCATTCATGCACTGAGGCAGGCAGGGGCCCCAGGCCACAAATGCTGGCACGCCGACTCGCTTCTGTCCCAGCGCGGCCCGGGCAGGGTGCACCAAAGCGGGTGTAAACAGATCCTCTTCCTCTGCCAGGCCAACTGCCAGCGCCCCCAGAAGTGGGGGGCCAGGCGCACCGGGCACACAAATCACACCGCACCTCTGCACATCGGGGTAGGAGAGCAGAAGTCCCCGGCATGCTGTCCTCTCCTGGCAGCACGGGCCACGCCAGAGGGTGGTGGTGAGAAGACACGTCATAGCACTGCCCCCACACAGTGCAGCGAACTATCATGTTAAGTCCCTTCCATTTTTTTCAACACTTGATTTTTACCTTTCTCCAAACTTCTCACCAGAGCTCAGTAATGAGCTGCCCCGTCGCCTCAGTAAATACTGCCATGTTACCATCCACGTCAATCGACGGGAAACCAAAACTATGGTCCGTGTTCCTTCGTGCCTCAGAGTGGTACACAGGGGAGGACACAGAAAACGAACAGTGAGACTCTCAGAATGCCCACACACACCCAACAGGACCTGATTTTCCGGACCCACAGCAGAAGAGCGCCACAGAGCCCGCGCACAGAGCGGGGAGCCCGATGCGCGCGTGGGCCTGGGAGAGCGCGTCCATGTAAGCAGACGTCATCGGCCAAACACGCCCACTGCAAACACTTATACTAGCTCACTGCAGTGAAAAAATAAAACAAAAGCAAACACGGGGCCTCCTCTTTGTCCCTCAAGTGCATCCCCAAATACTGCATAGAAGGTCCTCTGCTTTACACAGACCCACGAGGGAGTGCATCCGCTCCCGGGTGCGACGCCGGCCTCACGAGAAACAGAAGTTTGGCTCATCAGCCCGCAAGGAAGCACTCACGCCGCCCACGTCTGTCAGGGACCCTGTACCCTGTCCGTGGAGGCTGCTCCATTGTCAGCAGATCCCGCCTGGGCTGGGCGGGAGAGCGATGGGGTAGGGGTCCGACCCTCACACAGCAGTCCAGGCCCCACAGCCCGAGACGGAAGCCTCATGGAGTTTGCCAGAGCCGCTCCCGGGTGTTCCGTTCACACACGCGCTTCATCCGCCAGCCGGGAGTGTCCTGGATGTGCCGAAAGGACACCCACGGCACCACGGGCAGGCCCAGCGTGAGCCCCACTGGCTGCTCTTTGGAATGAAAATTCAGTCGGGGACAGTGAGCCTTCACATGGCCGGAAGCAGGTCATGAACCTGGAAACACCTCGGAGGAGGGAAAGAGAAAACCACACTGGCCGCCTCGGACCGGAGATGATCTCCTCAGCCGACCTCTCTCCTCTCCGAGGACCAGAACGCGCGTTCAGGTAGGAGTATGGAGCTAAGCAGAGGCAGACGCTGTCCAAGACCAGGTTTCAGGTTCAAGAGCTCTCCTCTATGACTCATTGCCCCTCCGCGTGGCCCCACGCAGAACACCGCACACACACGAGAGCCGGCACTACCACTCTGCAGAGACGGGAAGCTGAAGCCGCCAGCAGCACCTCCGCCGTAGGTCACCGGACATGGGCACAGGGGCACGGACCACGGCTCACCGCCCCCCGCAGAGTGGGACGCAGGACAGTAAAACGATGACACTACTTTGTTTCCGTTATAACCTCCCCGGGGCCAAACGCCTCCAACGACATGGTTCCATGGTTCAGCAATAAATAATGTGCCTGCTCCTGACTCGGCAGTGGAGTGCCCAGTGGCCCGCCCCGAGGTCAGCCCGCCGCTGCGACTAGGGGCACGGGGGCTTGGCGGGCGTCTTCAGCCGGACTGCAGGGACTCGCATCTGCAGCTTGGGCTGCTGGCCAGGGCTGTCAGAGCTGGCCGGCACCTGGGCGGGGGCAGCGACGCCGGGGTTCTGCAGCTGGCCCGCCGCCGTGGGCACCACCTGCTGCTGCATGAGCTTCTGCTGCACCACCTGCGCGGTCGCCGTCACCGTGGGGATCATCTGCACCTGCTGCCCGGCCGCCGTCGCCTGAGTCAGGGTCACAGTCTGCGGGGAGGCCTGAGCCGAACGGTCAGAAATCACACACGGCCTAGTAACACGGCCGACTAAACGTTCTTGGGGGTGGGGGGGGCGGTTCAGAAGCTTCTGTGAGATGTGAGAACCACGTGACGTATCACGGTACAACCTCTGGTTTCCGACCACACAGAAGCAGGAAGAGCCACTGAATGAAATCACTGCTGCTTTTGGGCAAAGGCGGACAGCGGGGGCCTGGAGGCGCCATTTGGCTTCTAGTGCGTTTGGTGCCTTGGAATCTACGTGCCATGGGACTTTGAACAAAACGGTATTCTGTTAAGGTGCTGCTTTACACAGCCACATTTTGCAGCAGTACATAAAAGGCAGGAGCCTGACAGTTTGGTGACAACGGTCACTGCTGTCCCCAGTAGTAGTAACACATCCAGGACCAAAGTCACCGCGAGCAGACTGTTTTGTGTTTCCCTAAAACTAAGGCATGGGGGCTTCGGCTCGGAGGACGCATCTGAAATCGCCAGCCAATTTCAGGTCCCACAGACGGACGGGCTCCTTTCGGACACCTGGCACTGAGTTTGAACTGGCTGCTCAGACTAAGTGTTGTCCCCAAATTAATCTTTTCTGAATTATGAACCTCAAAAGTGATTCTCTGATAGTTAGTCTTCTACTTTCTCAGGGCGAAAACCAAAAACCCCCCTGAGGGGAAACGTGAAGGTTACCGAAAAGCCCGTGTGGGACTCCCGGGAGGGCTGTGCGTCTGCACGTCCTACCTGCTGGGAAGCAGAGGCCACCTGCTGGATGCCGGCCACGGGTGTCTGCTGCTGGACCACTTGAGGGAGTTTGGCAACCTTTGAGAAAACAAAACAAAACAAGCCAAATGTAGAATTTACATGAACGCGTGCACAAGAAGACTGTCCCCTCTCCTTCCTTCTCAGTTCTTAATACAAAAGCAGGAACAGACCAGGGGCCAGATGCCACCGCAGAGCAATTCTCCATTTGCTGGCCGGAGGGCCTCAGCACCCGCTCCCGCGGAGGAGCACCCGCCTCCCTCGTCTGCAGAGCGGGCACCAGCAGCTCGCCTGCTCTCATCCTTCAGTCACGGCTTCTCTTTCACCAGCAACCTCTCCGGGTTTATGTAAGAGAACTACACTGAGGACAGAGTGACTCAGACTGACTCACGAAAGTCCCCTCTTCAAGTCTGGGCACCGTTCCAGGAAGGCACCCTCACCGAGAAATGATCTGGACCAAGCGGGGTTCAGCCCCGTTCCAAACGCGTGCCAACATCTCAGGGCAGCTACCGTATCACCTCGTGGTGTTTCCCTCCAGCACGATGCGATCCTTGCTCCCGACAAACCTCTTTGCCCTACGCCGCCTGTCGCACGCCATCCCACACATACATGGCTGCCTCAACACGGCAAGACGGTTCAGGCCCTATGTCTACCCTGTCGGGGTGTCAGTCCGGAGAAGCACAACAGGTCCAGAGCAGCCAGCTGCTGGGGGCCAGGATACCCCCACCGGGTCTCTAACTGGTAGGACAGGGTGAAAGTAAGGCTGCCCGAGACAGTTCTGCAGGAAATGTGAATGACATGACATACTTGTGGCAGACTCCGAGGCAGTGCTGGCTCCCCTTGTAAAACCTGAAATCACCGGAAAGCACTTTCTAGTTCACTGTAACTCGAATAAAAGTTGTAAACAGGATCTGCTAAGACAAAGAGAGCCCATGCCTGGAAGCTCTCGGCCCTGGTGGGAAAGCAAGACTTGGGGAGCAGGAGCAGGACGTCCCTGCACAGGGTGGGCTGGCACGGCCACCCACAGAGGGACTCCCAGTTTCAGAGCCAAGCGGAGGCGGGAACCCAGAGCAAGGAGCCGAGGCACGGCAGACCAGAGGCCAAGTCCAAACTCGGGCAGGACCGCTCACCAGCCCTGCAGCTGTGCCCGTCACCCAGAGGGGTCTTGGAGGAAGTCAGCTGCCTGAGGCCCTGAGCTGCTGTGGGAGGGGACACAGGTTCAGAACCGAAATGACGCTGCCTGAGACATACCAACCCTCAAGCCACAGCCGACATGGCCCTGGCAGTGCCCACGGGCGCCCAGCAGGAGTCAGCCTTCAACCCAGACCTCAAAGCAATCCTAAGATAGGCTTCAAGGAGAACTGGTTCCTGAGAAAATAACTACTACAAATATAAACACAGTTCCTGAGACAGCAGCGAAGACCCAAACTCCTTAATGTAAACGTAGCTAATAGGTGGGAATCTAATTAAAAAAGCAAAAATGGGAAAAAAAAATAGAGAAACAGATAAATGCAAAAGCAGAGTGGGAGATGTCAACGTATGCCTGCCAGTGATGGACATGGAAGGACACGGAAGTAACCGAGTAGTAACTAGACGACCTGACAAGGGCACCCGGCACCATCGTAAAGCAAGTCTCACACCTCCCACTCTGTTACAGAATTGCTGAGGGATGGGGTCCAGCCACTGTGGTCCTGGCACGGGGATGGGGGGGCTGCTGCCCCCGAGCTGGAGAAGTTCAGGTGCACACAGGGGTGGGACAAGGCACCCAAGAGGTCACGCAGCTTCAGGGACCTGTCCAAAGGCAGGCAGGACTGAGAGTCTGCAACAGGGCTAGCCGTCGGCCGCAGCTGTGAACCTGGGGTCATAGGCCTGGAGACGGACTGAGGCCTTGAGACTGGGGGAGACAAAAACCACCATAAAAAAGAACGAAAACGTTCAGCAAACTAGGTGAAAATTCTGACTCTACTGAAAGGTGATTTCAAAACTCAGACCTTGCGAAACAATCACATGAACAGGGATACAGCTGACTTCCCTACATACCACCAGCCAGGGGGGCTGCGGCCCTAGCCAGCATGGTAAAGCAGAAAAACTGGGCAAGGGAAGAGGAAGATGCCACCGCCACTTGGCGTGGGCCACCTGCCCAGGGACAAAGGAAGTGCCAGAGGCCACAGATGACTGTCCAAGAACAGGGACCGATCAAAGCAGCGAGGTTCAAAAGTCAAGGCACCAAGAGAAAGGCCCAGACAGAAAACAGTCGCCCAGTAACACACGATTACAGAAGCATCCGAAAACACCAGTCACTCAGGAACAAATCCAATCCAAGCGGTAAGACTGTCCTGGGAAAAATTCAGAACACCCAAAGGGCACTGAAAGGGCCAGATGGCAAACGATGCATCGTGTGGGTGAGTCTACGGTCAAAACGGCAAAGACATCGCTTTCCCCCTTAACGTCGTCTAAAAAGTGAACGTGGCTCCGCGTCCCGCAGACTAGCACAAGCACTGCCGCAGCGACGTACGCAAGCACAATCCCGTCGGAGTCAGAACAGCTCTGCCTGTGCTGAGTGAGCTTAGCACGCAGACTTGAAACTGCCAGGGAGGTGAGGAGGGCCACGGACAGCAGCACGTTCTCAACAGGAGGGCACGGTCTGCCCCGGGGGCCAAGGCTCACCACGTGGCCACAGGGACGGCCACACAGGGACCGCAAGGCCGAAGAGTGCCCCACACACAACCACGCACGACCTACGCCAGAGTCGCACTATGGGTCAGAAGGAAAACGGTGCTGAAAACAACAGGATATTCTAATGGGAAAACTGAGCTGAATTCCTAGTCTTACATTGTCTGGAAAAGCCCGTTCCAGGAAGATGAGAAACCTCAGCGTCAAAGAAAAATTACAGTGTTTTTAGAACATGATAGGAAAGGAACACCATGACCTCTGGGAAGAATTCCTTAAGACACAAAAGCACGATTCAGAAACAGAAAAACTGGTCACTGCAACATGTTGAAACTAAGAACTCTTGTTCCTGCAAAGACACCACAGAGTTAAGGGTGAAAATAAGTCACAAACTGGGAGCAGCCAGTGAGCGGGACGGAGACCTGAAGGCTCCCAGAGGAAGGGAACAGCGCCAGGACGACACGTAGCCGGCACTCGGCAGAAGGGAGCCCTGACCGTCAAGATTCACGAACGGCAGAACTGCAGGGCTCGGCAGGAGACGCAGGAGCAGGGCGAGGCTGAGCGGAGGCTTGCAGGGCTGGGACCGCAGCAGAAGCCTGACAGACACGCACACACTCACAGCACAGCTCCCCCACCCCAGGCAGCCACGTGCGGTGCCCACACACAAGAAACAGTCACTACTGCTGAAAGGCCGGTCGTCTGTAAGTTCCACAGGCCAGGAGCGAGGCCCAGAGCAGCCCCCTCGGCCATCAGCAGCAGAGCAATGGAGTGCCAACTCACTAAATCAGGGAGGACCCCCCAAGACGTGAAGGACAACCCCCAGAGTGTGACCCCAGCATGGCCCCCAAGCCATACTCCATGACCCCAGAGGTGGAAAAGCCAGCGAGGAGTGTCGGGGGCCAGCCACCTCTGTCCTCGCTCTCCGGAGCCCGTACGTTGACCACTCACTTTCCAGGGCACCTGCTGTCCCGCGAGCCGCCTCACGCCTGACTCGTGCTCACCTGGATCTGGGTCTGCACCTGCTGGGTCCCAGCCAGTTTCTGGGCCTGGGAGATGGGTGTGGTAAGGAACTGCGTTTTGAGGGCTGGCTGGGTGGCATAGGTGACCTTCTGTGGTTGGCCCTGAGCAGCAATCTGCTGTGCGGCGATCTGAAGGAAGAGAAGACCGCCCAGGTTAGAACCAGGCCAGGCTGTGTCCTCTTCTTGGGAGTGCCAGGGCCTCCCCTGGGCCCCCACTGCCCCAAGAGCCACAGTATGACCACTCCACACTCCCAGCACGCCTGCCCTCCGCCCAGTCCTGCAGCTGCCTGGGCGGCATGCCCAGCAGCCCCCGCCTGGAAGTCCCCCCGCCGAGATCAGGCCGGGGTTCATCTTCACGTCCTCTGTCTGCTCATCACGTGAGTGAACGTCTCTTTCCTGAATCTGACTTGAAGATTTGGGCACATACTCTAAAATACTGAGCACAAAGGATAGATAACAAACCTATAAGCACCGTCCCTGCATGATTAACTTCTAAGTTTTCTCTGCCAGAAGAACGGGACTCCTACTCCGAAGACTAAGCATACACACGGTGTGTGTTTTACAAAACCACGGTTACACACACATATTTTTCTAACGTCTCAGAACTTTTCTTTCAAATCCCGTGAACATCAGACCAAGGCTGCAGCAACCTCTCACTCAGCGGTAAGCTAAGCCCACTGGATTACCCAGGCCCACCCGGCGGTGTCCCTGTCCTCCTGTGACCAGTGCCCGTGGCAGGCTCCGACGTGAGAGCTGCCCTGCAGCCGAGCCCAAGGACAGCTGGAGAGGACTGGGGAGGGGACTGAGTGCTGTCCCTCCCGGAACTGTCCACCAGCAGGGAAGAAGGCAGCACCCAGAGGCGGGTGTGCTGACTCTCTCCATCAGAGAAGACCCCAGGCCACAGCTCTCCCCGGAAGGCAGGAGGAGGCTGTCTGAAGGGCACACGTCCAGCGCAGTGGGCTGCTGCTGGGACAGCTCCTTCCTGGGGCCCGGCCCACACTGCTCTACCAACGTCCCAGTGCCTCTGCTGTCTCCGGCCTCAAGACCTTCCTTGCCGGTGTGGCCCCTCCTGGCTGCCGGGCCCTCCTAGCTCGTCACCTCACCCTGGGCTGCTGAGGACCGCTCAACTTTCGATTCCCTGCTGTCCCCACAAACCGCAGCAGCGTCAGGGACGGGCAGGATCTCGGCCCCCACCAGATCGGGGCTCGGCTGCTGCCCACGGAGGGGCAGGACACACGCACAGCCCCACACCCGGTCAGCTCCGTGACTCCAGGTGAGTCGCTTCCTTTCTCTGATCCTGTTTCCTCAAAGTGACGTGCAGCCCTGCTCTGAGCACAGGCACCAGCGGCCCAGAGAGCTGTGAGCTCACACGGGGAGCACCTCAGGCCGGGCACCCGACCCCAGTTCCGAAAGCAGGAGGGACAATGCCCGGTGTGAACATGGAACACGCACATCTGCACCCCGGGCCACACGCTGCCAGAAGCTCACGGAGCAGAGTGCGGGGGGCACGCTCTGCTCCTGGAGGTCAGTACAGCGCCTGCCCGGGGCTCAGCCTCGACACACTGGCCTACCGACGGCTCTGCCCGGGCCCTGCCTCCGCTCAGAGCCAACTCCCAAACGTCTGAGTCAGGGGACGCTGACAGCACTCCGGGCCCCTCCGCCCGGCAAGCACACACGGGGAAAGGACACGGTCCTATCACTCTGCACACCAGGAGCCCCGGCAGTCACGCACCAAGAGCTACACCCGCACCCCTGGGCCCCTTGGGCCCAACCCAGCCACGCGATTCCATGGCCGATTTCACGGTTCCCCACCGGTTCCCGTCACCACCTTCTCCTTGCAGGGCCTTGTTGCAGCTCCCACCCCGAGACCTCTGGGCACAGGTCTTCTGTGTGTGTGGCTGCCGGGAAGCCAGGAAAGGCCCTCGCCGGGCCTTCCTGCTGTCCGTGCGCTCTGTGCCCGGCACGCGGCCAGGACGACAGGAGCCCGCCCGGGGAGCCGGTACCTTCTGCTGGACGGCGGCCGGGCCCGGGGCCGCCTGGGGCTGGATGGCTTTCTGCTGCTGCACGGCCTGCTGCTTCAGCTTCAGCAGCTGCTGTACGTGCACAGGCTGCGCCACGACGGTCTGTCCTGTGAACAGCGACCAAGACTTCAGTCACAGTGCTCTGTGGGGACGAGGGTCTCACGACCTCCCTGAAGTTCCCTCCGTGTCCCGGAACTGCTGAGCTATTCCTACTGACTGCTTTCCGTAGAAAAAGCCACACGCGGAAACCAGGCCAACACAAGACAGACGGCCCACGGCAATCCTGAAGATGTCTGTAGGCCCGCAAGGACATTCAAATAAAGGTGTGGGGAGTTCCGAATGGTAACTGGTTAGGGCAAGGGCTGCAGTTTGTCCCGGGGCACCTCTGAGAGGCACTCTGGCCAGACGGTGCCTGGACACGCTCAAAATGGGCGTCCGCACAGAAGCCAGCAGGAGACCTGTCGCCCCGCTCCGGCTCTCGGCGGGACAAGGGTGGAGGCGGAGGGGTTGCCCACGAGGTACCTGCGGCTTTCTGCGGCTGTCCGATGGCCACGCTGATCCCGGCGACGTTCATGGGCAGGGTCGTCACACCGGGCGAGGAGACCACGGCCGCCGGCACCGACACCACGGGAGGCTTGGCCAGTGCCACCTGCGCGGGCTGGGGCGCCTGAGCCTGCATCTGCCCTTGCGCCTGCAGCTGCGAAGGGGGAACCCGGGTCTAAACAGTGAAAACGGGAGAGTCCACAGATATTCGGGATGCCATGTGTCTGTGTCTTTGCAAGCACTCCCCCCGAGAGCTCAAGTGGATCAAGAGGAAAGATCCACAAAGGTGGGAAGTGGTCGTCCGCTGAGGGGCCACACTTCACAGAGGACCGCGCTATGCTTCCTAACCCATCAGCAACCAGCGTGGGGAGCCCAAAGCTGCTCGCCCGCTCTCACGCTCAGACCCTGCTACAGGGAGCCCAGGAGCCGGGCTCTGCAGCTCCTCCTCCCGGCTTCAGAACTCCGAGGAGCCCCGTCCCGCTGGGTCGCCTACAGACTCACGTCTCCCACTCCTCCGGCTACGCCTGAAGGTCAACCACCACCCCAGCCCACGACCACCGCAGCCCACAAACACCAGCCCATGACCACCCCAGCCCTTCCCGCAGACACACTCCTGCTACTCAGTGTCCTGCCGCCACCAAGCACTTGTGTCCCAAACTTAGATCTTCAGAAAACAGACCCATCTTACCTGTACAAGCACTCAGACTACCTGAGAAAACATAAAGAAGTAAAAAGCACCCCTAACCCTCAAACTCCCCATATCTGAATGTGAAGGCCAGCACCGAGCCCATCAGATGCTGGTCTTACCCACGTGACCTACTGTGCAGGTATGTGAGATGGGACAACTTAGAATACTCTGTAGTATTTGTACGGTTTCTCTCCCTTCCCAAAGTCACGGACTACCCCAACATGGGGACATAAACTCCCCAGTTAACAGGGACCTGTCTCCTCTAACGCGATTCAAACAGCAGGACTGCGCGTCCGCCCCACTGTCCTCCCTCCACTACTGCTTCCCGCAAGAAGAGAACCAGGACCGCCGGTTAAATGCACGCTGCGTAGCTCAGGGACGGGAGACCCTCCCAGAGTGGAAGCCAACCTGTTTGGCCAGTCCCGCCTGAGCAGTGCGGGTTCCCCATGCTCTGGCTGGCACCTGGGCTCGCCGCCCTTCTCTGAATTGGCATGTCTTGTGAACACGGTGAGGCCACACTGTCTTTCCCAGTTTCAGTCCATGTCTACCCTGCTTCTTAGAGACGTGAGGTCAGGGCGAGGCGCCCAGGTGAGCTGCAGGTGATGAGCTCTCGGACTCAGACAAGTTATTGACTGCGGCCGCAGGCCTCAGTTTCTGCCACCTACACACCGGAGTTCACGTTCAAACATCCACCCTGGCCTCGGCAGTGGTCTCTGGGCACTGACCACGGGACAGGGATAGAGTCAAGGGCAGCGGCTCGCCTCATGGGACGCTGTCCCTCCCACAGGACATTTGATGGATGCTTGTTGAATTTAACTGAGCTTCCCTGCCACTGTTTTCACCGCGACATTCTGCTCCTCTTCAGAAACCTCCCGCGTCTCCCTGTGCCAAGAGAGCACAGGGACACCAGAGCCTGGCGTTCTGGCCTCGTCCACCTCCCCACATGGGTCTCCTTCCCCGCAACCTCTGCTCCAACCACGTGGGCCTCGTCCCCAGCAGAAACCTCGCCCTCCCTGCGCCGACCAGCCCACCATGAGCTCTGCAAAGCTCCAGGCCTGGGAAGCAGGACGACGTGAGAGCCTCCACTTGTATTTTATCCTGTCCGAGGACAACTTAAGCTCCTGGGGGAAGGCACCCATCTTCTACTTGACTTGTAGGTCCGCCAGACACCTGACATGGTCCTCAACAAGCAGTAACAATTCAATTAAATGTTAAAAGACATAGCTTTGGAAAAACAAACGTATCAACTGGAACTTACGAGCCGGGCCACCTGGAGGTTGGCCACGGTGGTGCCCGTGAGCAGGGCTCCGGGCCGCGGGGCCGTGACCGTGGCCAGCTGGGGGCTCTGCTGCGGCGTGGGTGGCGGGGCCTGCACTTGCACTTGTGTAGCGGGCTGTGGGGGCCCTGGCGGGGCCTGCGGTGGGGGGGCCTGCTGGGGCAGCTGCAGTTTCTGCTTCTGCATTTTGATCAGATGTTCCTAAAACCCAGATAAAGTAGCTTTTCATCAATATTAACTGCATTCCATTTTTTATAAATCTCGGTTTAAGTTACTGTTGTTCTATCCATCAAACACCAAGGCAGACAGCGGCTAGCACACAATACACAAACCACCCTCCAGGGGCGTTCTGACAGCTGTTCCATGTCCCTTTATTAGAAACTCGTGTACCGCTGATGATAACCAGAAACGGTGATTGACACATGAGTAAATTTATAGCAAAATTCCTGTTTCTTCTCACTTACAAGTATGTCAACTTAAACCTGTAGTACTGTAAAATTTTTAGAAAGTCTTAAAACCATGGTCCTTCTTGAATTTTGTAAAACTTACTACGTTCATCACCTCTCAACTTTTCATTCCAACTGTTTCCAAATGACTAAATTGATGAATAAACCCCAAGTCTTTAGAAAACGTGACAGTATCGAGGCGCCTGGGTGGCTCAGTGGGTTAAAGCCTTTGCCTTCGGCTCAGGTCACAATCTCAGGGTCCTGGGATCAAGACCCACATCGGGCTCTCTGCTCAGCGGGGAGCCTGCTTCCTCCTCGCTCTCTGCCTGCCTCTCTGCCTACTTGTGATCTCTGTCTGTCAAATAAATAAATAAAATCTTCAAAAAAAAAAAGAAGAAGAAGAAGTGACAGCATCAACATGTCAAAACAGCCCAAAAACACGTTAAGGAATCAATTTTCTTTTCAGAAAACTTCTAGTGTGTAGTTCATAACTATCTGAAAATGACAGTGACTCTGGAATTGACTCAGAACAGGAAAGAGTGGAGAATCCAGACGCAGGCCAACCAGCAGGTAAGCGGGGCTCTGGCCGCCAAAGGAGGGAACGCGGGGGCACAGCCGGTCATCATATTCTGAGGAGAGGCAGGAAGGGGAGAAGGCCAGGCCAGGGGGGCGGGCAGCAACTTTCTAACTTAGCGCTGTCCCCAGACTTCCAGGCATATTCTAGAACTGGCCTGTCCAACAGGCTAGCCACAGCCATGCACACCCGCTGCACCCTTGAACGTGGCTGGTGTGACTGAGGGGCTGAACAGTTTACGTAGCTGCATCTCCTCTCTCTGGCGTGCGTGCTGGGGCTGCAGCAGGGACCCTGTGGCTCGGGCTGGCGCGTGCTCCATGGCCCTCCGGCATGCCCGCCTGTCCCCTCCGTAACCAAGAAGGGGCAGGTCTAAGGTCAGGTACTTACTGTGGCCGGCCCAGCAGCTAGCTGCAGTTCTAAAACACTGTCTTGTTTCTATCACATATGCTTCTCCACTCACTTTCCGTGCCAAGCAAGAACACGTCTCCGTTTTGGCAGGAAGACAGTACTTCCTTTCAAACTGAACGCATTTACACACACAGCTGCACAGCGGTGCACAGGATAGCAAACCCAGTGCTCAGCACTGCAAAGGAACCACGCATGAGGAGACCAAGCATCCGGCACCTCATCCTGGAGCCCGGGGCAGCACTTCCCGCCAGCATCTTCTCTGGTCGGGCACGGACCCGAGCGGCTTTCTACTTCTCCAGAGCCCGAGCGGCTGCACAGAGCCCCAGACAGCAAGCAGGAAGACAGGGCTCCCAAATGCTGTCAACAGGCCGGCCACGTGGCCACAGATGTGGCTCCGTGCAGAAAGCTGTCTATAGGAGCAGCACAAGCGCACTCCCACAAGGACAGCAGCAGACCTGTGCTTCCAGCTAAGGGACACACGGGGCCCCCCACAGCGGGTGTGCGGTTTCCTAGGAGACACTCACCGGAGTCAACTTGCCGACAGCCTTGATCTGTGCTGGTGATGGGGCCTGGCCCTGGATCTGTGGGACCTGCACCTGAGAGGGCGGCGGTGGGGGCGGCGGCGGCTGCTGCTGCCGGAGCAGCTGGAAGTGTGCGGGAGTGATGGCCTTCCCGGGCAGCTGCACCCCTGTGGCTGGGAGAGGGGACGCCGTCACGCTGCGCACACGTACTGCCCGCCTCTCCTCCCACGACAGAGGCATGCACGTGTGCTCACCACGAAACCCCACCTGCCCTTACCTTGGGACACCTGAGTCACCAAAGACCGGGTCGGAGTCTGCACTGGGGTCAGGCTGGTAGTTACCACGGCTGAGGCTGTCACAGAGGTAACCGCTCGAACACCTTGGGTTGGTGCCAGAGACACAAGGTCGGACGTGGCCGTGGCCGGGGAGCCGACGGCGCGAGGCTGGGTGTGGACCACCTGGGCTGGAGCAGAGCCTCCGGAGGTCTGTAAGAGGCAACGGGGGAGTCGTCAGGTACCTCCGCGCTATACTTCAAGGCTTCCCCGTGCACTGGAGAAGACAAGAGGACATCCGTCTATGAACCCGAGGAAAGGAAGCACTTGCCAGAGCTCGGTGGTTTGGCAATCAGAACGCTGGAAGGAACACGCTTCACCTGGGCCTTGAGTTTCAAAGTGGGCCCGTCACCACAGAAAAAAGCCGTTTCAGGCGGCAAGACTCCCACTCCCATTCTGACACTACCCCGGTCCCTCTATCCGCACTGGATAGACAGTCTGGTCCCCCAGGACACTGTGAGGTTCTGACTACCCTCCGGACACCTGTGCTTGCTCCTCAACACACGGTGTAGGGTCCCACTGTCCACCACCGCCCCCTCCTGCCTGCGCAGGTCTCGTGGCGGCACAGAGCCACCTTGCGGTCCCCCACCCCCCACACGGACCCGCACGGCTACAGCCACCCAGTCCTACACCCACCGTGGACAGACCCCACCGGCTCCAGCTCTGAGACAGCCGGCGCACGTGCCACCTGCCTCCGCTGGCCCCTCCGTGTGGGCGACCGGGACGTCCTCCAGACTGCGCGGTTCGCCCCCAGCCCTTCTGCGCGGCCCCACTCCTCCCGCGTGAGCGACTCCAGCGTCGGACACGGTGCTTTCTGTTCAAGCCGTCCGGCTCCGCGTGCCCTCAGCTGCGTCTCCTGCCTTTGCTCACAGCGTTTATTCTCACTTTCCCCCCCAAAGTCTGGAAGTTACAATCCTTTTATGCTCTTGGTGGCTCATCTAAAATTGTACTGAGGGGTGCCTTGGGGGGCTCAGTTGTTAAGCATCTGCCTTCAGCTCGGGTCATGACCCCGCGGTCTGCGGATCGAGCCCCACGTCGGGCTTCCTGCGCAGCGGGAGCCTGCTCCTCCCTCTGCCCCACCCCCCACCCCACCCGGCTTGTGTTTGCGCTCTCTCAAATAAATAACTAAATAAACGAACTTCTTAAAAAAATTATACCCTGGTACTTGCCAACATCTATCTCACTGACAGTCTCACACTTTTCCTGAACGGGAGTCCAGAGCATCTCAGCACCTCGGCCCTTGGCTGGCTTACAGCCGCGGACCCCACGCAGCGCACCCTGGCTGTCAGCCCCGTAAGGGGTCACGGCTGCTGGGAGGGTCAGTCTGCACCTCGCCTGTCTGCTGTCACCACCTCTGCGCTCACTTCTCAGACCTTCTGCCTCAAGTGTGTCCTTTCGTCTGGACCACCTGCTGCTAGCCCGGCCAGTGTCTGCTTACAAGCGTCACTGAACCCGCGTTCTTCAAGCTATTTCCGGAACACGCTGCGCAGGGTAAGCAGCGATTTGCGGTTCTTGGAGCACAGATGTCACTCTGGAGGCTCCTGGCTTCCCCACCCACGACGACCCCACCGTGCCCCTGGCTGAATCGGGCTCCGGGGGGACGGCTGCATACACGGCTCAGTGTCACTCCTCCGACCTGGAAAATTCCCATCTTCCAGCATCACCCTTGCTTGCCCTCCTCCCCATCTTGAACTCTGGGTAACCGCACTCCCCACCCTCCCGGTCGGCCTCCCATGACCTCACGGCACTCTTGCACGCCGCCCCTGCCGTCATCCTGCACTGCATTCGGGAAAACGCCTCCTGACTTCTCTTCCGGTTCCCTAAGTCTCTCCTCAGCGGTGTGTGAACAGCCCATCACCAGGGACCTCTTCCAAATTCTGACGACCATAGTTTTCATTTCCAGAAGTTCTCTACGGTTGCCCTTTTAGAGTGTGGGGATTACGGGCACCAAAGCCCCCACACAGTTGGCAATCCACGTACAAGGTTTTTGACCGGAGCCTTACTGCTAACAGCTGACTGCTGGCCGGAGGCCCTCCTCACAGCACAGCCGGTGAACACCTACTCTGTAGGTTACGTGCTTTGTACACTGCATCCTTACGTTAAGTTCAGCTAAACAAAAACAAAAACAAAAACAAAAACAAAAAAGATTAAGAAAACCGCAGGAGGGCACCTGGGTGTCTCAGGCATTAAGCAACTGCCTCCAGCTCAGATCATGATCTCAGGGTCCTGGGATCGAGTCCTGCATTGGGCTCCCTGCTCGGTGGGGAGCCTGCTTCTCCCTTTCCCACTCCCCCTGCTGTGTTCCCTCTCTTGCTGTGTCTCTCTCTCTGGCAAATAAATAAATACAATCTTAAAAAAAAAAAAAAAGAAAGAAAGTAAGGATAGCACCCGGCACTCAGAGGGGTGTGTAGCTCCTGGTCTTGGGGCCGCGAGTTTGAGCCCCATGTTGGGCTCCACACTGGGCATGGAGCCTTTTGAAAAATAAACAGAAACAGAAGCACAGGTACTTTATGACCCACACCCACGAACTGCACTATGCCACGTGGGGGCGGCTGCCCGCTGTTTCCACGGGTGCCACTCTTCCATCCTGTGTTGGGTTATCTTCCACCGTGCACCACTCGCTACGCTGCCAAGTCACTTGTGGAGGGTCTAAGGAGCCCAGGTCCCAGGCGAGCTCCCCCAGGGCACCTGCACTGGCTCCTGGCCGCCCACCCGAGAACCCAGTCCAACTGAGGCCACATCCGCTCGAGCTGCAAGCTGACAGGCCAAAGTGTGGCTACAGATTTGCAGGCGGAGGGGGTCCCTGTCCGGCCTCTCCACTCAGTGACAGCATAGAGGGCAGGCGGGTTTTCCTTCTGCTTCAACCCCGCCCCAAGGGCTCAGCCACAGAGCTCCCATTTGAGGGGTCAGCACCTCTGTCTCCTCCGGGGAGAGGAGGAGAGCCCGGGGCTTGTGCTGGAGCCTCCCGCCAGATCAGGTAAAATGTCCATGGCAGACCCTGCCTCAGGGCACCGTTTTTCTCTCTGGGTTTCTTCCCTGAGATTTTACCCTAATCATTACGTATTCTTTGGTCAGCTCTCTTAAAACTTTAAAAAAGATTCAAAATTTTTTTATCCAATAATTTTTGTTTCACTGGGAGAACAGTGTAAGTCACCTCCCCTTGTCATCAGAAACAGAAATCTGCTCCTGGACTTCCAAAACAGTTTCCACTCTGCTCAAATCTGCTCTGTTACACACAGCATCGTATCTGTGCTCAGGCACTAGCAAGGGCTTAAAATCCATACTCTCGCTGGCTACCCAAACTCTGCGAGCAGCCATTCTGGGATCTCCCGGCGCCGAGCGCACACAGCCGTGCGGAGCCTCCTGGCGGGTACAGGAATCACCGCTACTCTGTTCATGCCTGTGCCCCCCAGACAGACCTACTCGCTGTGCCTTGTACACCCCACACACCTTCCCAGCGCCGCAGAGCTGTGGGGGGCGGGGGGTGATGTCGTCCTGTCCGTCGGAAGCCCAGGAAGCCCGCCCCGTCTTCGGCAGCATCTTCCCAGTCCAGCGGAACTGGAAAGCCGGTCGCCTGTCTGATAGTTACTCTTCCCATATCTCCAGCAAGAGTACCCTGTCTGTGAGAGTTCCTCAGAAAACACAACATGGGTAAGTTCCTTATCTTCCAAAATATTATACGTAGCAAACAGCCTTTTGCAAAACGAAGAGTGCCATGATCTGGGCGTTGCACTCTCACGTGAGGAGCGGGTCGCTCAGAGAGAACGCTTGTGGCGCCACACGCCCCCTTACAGCTCTTGGTGCTTGTTAACGCGGCCGGAGCAAAAGTGACTTACTGCCAAGTATGAAGAAAAATAAATAATCCTAAGTCACACAACTAGAAAACCTTTTCATATATGCTGTGCCACCTAGAGAATAGGCAAATTTTTAAAGCAGGATTTACTGAAGTACAATTTACATACAGTACAACCCCCCACTTCAGGTACATGGACCTATGAACGTTCCTGAACGCAGACTGCCAGGTAGACACCACAGTCCAGACAAAGAACAGACTCCACTGCCTTCTCCCCAGTAAACGGAATCTCGCAGCATGCGAGGTCTTCTGAAACTCTCACCACAGCAAACTGTGTTTAAGAGTCGCACTCCCTGGGGCGCCTGGGTGGCTCAGTGGGTTAAGCCTCTGCCTTCGGCTCAGGTCATGATCTCAGGGTCCCAGGATCGAGCCCCACATCGGGGCTCAGAGGGGAGCCTGCTGCCCCCCGCCTACCGCCTGCCTCTCTACTTGCTTGTGATCTCACGCTCTCTCTGCCAAATTAATTAATTAATTAATTAATCTCTTTTAAATAAAAAAGAGAGTCACACACCCTGTTGTCTGGCCAGGCAGCTAGCTCAGTCCCATGTTGCTGGGCAGTCCTGGACGGTGCCCACATCTTCGCGGAAGGCCCTCAGCATTGTCTCCTCTCTCAGTAATTACAGATAAAGCCACCAGACACACTCATGTCTGGGTTTACCTGTGCACATCTATGATTTTACTTCCCTTGGGGGAAAACCCAGGCGTGGAAGTGCTAAGTTGTCCAGTAAATGTACGTTTGTCAGAAGTGGCCAACTTCGCACATGACTCTAAGATTCCACGAGCCATCAGCAGCACAGGCTCCAGCCGGGCAGCCTTGTTGCATCTGCCACCGCCAGGTTTCTGTTTCTAAAGCTGCTCCCAGAGACATGTGGTGGCATTTCACTGTTTTTTCTTTTCTTTTTTTTTTTTTTTTAAGTGGGGGCAGGGGCAGGGGGAGAGAATCCTAAGCAGGCACCACGCCCAGCACAGAGCCCCTTTCCACAACCCTGAGATCACAACCTGAGCCAAAACTGAGAGTTGGATGCTCAAACGACTGAGCATGGTGGTTTGCATGGGATTCCCCATGACTAATAATGCTGAACGCCTTTTCACATTTGGTTGCTATCACTGCTGCTTCTTTGGTGAAACAGCTGCTCGAATCTTGTCCAGGTTTCAGTGTTTTCTTATCACCGGAGAGCCCCCACTGACTTGGCAGACCAGGACTTCATCATATGTATCCTACAAGTACTTTCCATGTTTTCCATTTCTATTTCTCGAACAGTAGATGTCACTGATTTTGATAAAGACCAACTTACTAATTTTTCTTTCATGATTCATGATCCTAGGAAATCTTTGCCTAAACCAAGGAAGCACAGGTGTTCTGTGACTTTCGCCTAAATATTTCCGGGTCTCACACTCGGGTCGACGATGCACCCAGAGGGACTCTTCATACCCGGTGCAGTTACAGACCACAGCCCAAGCGTGCATGCGGCGCCACGGTCCTACCAGCACCGCTTGGGAAGCCCACCTTTCTCCTCCTGGCACTCCTTCGGCACTCTTACTGAGGGTCAGCTGGCTGCAGACCTGGCCTTCACTTCTGGACCCTGCATCCCGCTCCACGGAGCCATGCCCATCCTTCTGCCAGCGCCACCCTGTCTCAATTACCACAGGAAGACCTTTGTAGAAAAGACACTTCTCTGAGCCCAACAGGGACAGGAGAGTGCTTCTTGTGCAGGGCATGCGCTGTGTTCCAATATGTAACTAAACTGGGAAAACACATGGGAACTTCACCTCCTTAACCTCGGCTGTTTACTTTGGTCATTTATGGCAAACACCAAAGTCGCAGAGGTGGCTGGACAGGCAGCGTGTCTTTCGGTGAGTGCAAGGTCCCCTCTGATTCTGCGCTCAGAGGGTCTGACGGCTCTGCCCAGGCCTGGTGCCTCCCTGCCTCCCAGGTCTGCATGTGCTCCACCCGACCCCCGTGAGCTCTGGCACCGCAAGCGACAGCACACTCACCCTTGTGAGACGCCATGCCACCCCCCATACGGTTCCCCCAAGAGCGCCCATCCCCACATCCCCGTGTCCCCCACAAGCAATCTGTACTGTGGCACAGGCAGACCCCACGAGCTCACACCCTGCCTTCCTCCTCCTGGAATCACCGTCGGTAGCGCCCTCCACACGCACTCCGTCAGCAAGCACACCACGAGAGCCATCTCCCGAACTCCCGAACGCTCACATTATCTTGGGAAATTCAAGCTGTGTCAGGACTCTTGGCACCGCTGGGATATTTCTTTACAAAGCAAACAACTTTCTGGGCACCGGGCAGGCTCAGTCGGGAGAGCACACGACTCCTGGTCGTGAGTCCAAGCCCCGTGCTAGGTGTCAAGATTGCTTTAAAAAAATTAAAGACAAAACAAAAACCCAACACCCAGACAAACAACCCTCATGGGTCCTAGGTCACAGATGCTATGAAAAGTGCCCCGGAGCAGGGACAACTCACAGTCAAGGCTCCCGGTGCCACAGGTGAAGCGAGGCGCTTGTTAATGGACTGGAAGGTGGCGGCAGGGACCCCCGCGATGGTGTTCACGATGACGTTTCCGCTCACCGTGCCTGCGGGGGAGAGACCTGTGAGGCAGGAGCACCGTGAGGGGGAAGCACCGACTTCTGACGGGGGCATCTCAGGTTTCTTACCCGTTGGCATACTCGTCCCCGTGACAGACGTTTTCATGGCTCCCGCCTGCTGAACACAGAAAACCACTTGAATTGGAGCGCAGGCTCTCCCCTTCACGAGACCTCCAAATGTTTCCACTTCCTGAGAACCATATCCACACTCCCGCCTGGTGACGCACAGCCACACAGGCCGACCCCCCGCTCCCTGCCCCCATGCCCTGCACGGGCTCTCCTGCACGCACCCCTACCACCTTGCTGAGGCCCACTCTGCCCACCAACTCCTGTCACTCAGGCCGCAGCCCGGCAGAGTCCCTCCACAGCCACCTGCCATGGTGCCCTTGGGGCCACAGAAGCAGGAGCTGAGTGCGTGGCTTTCTGACCCCAGAGCTGGGCCAGAATGCCCCATGGCAAGCCCGCCACAGCAGACAGAACCACAAATGAGCCCAGACCGTGCCCACGCCCGACTGGCAGAGCAAGGCCGCGGGTTTCCCTACGCAGTCCCAGGCGTTCTCCCCACATGGGACTCCAACGTACGTCCATGATACACGGACACGGGCACACGCAGCAAAGCGGCAGATCAGGGCCCGCTGGCAGCAGCACAGGCCATGTGAGGTCACGAGACAGTCTGCCTTTCTATGCCTTCTCTGTGCCTTCGTTTTACCCCTTTCTCTAACGGGCAGCAAGGATTCAGGTACTCGCGTGTGCAAGAGCACGCGTGCACCAGCTTTGAAGATAAGGTCGCGTGTGGCACGAGCAGTACTAGCCCTGCCGGGTGACGTCACAGTGGCACCTCCCAAACCCCACCGAACTGCAAACTTCCCGGGCGCCCCCACCTCCCCAGCCGGCCAGAGCCCGGAGCAAGCCGAGTGGGAGTGAGGGCGCCCCTCTGCACGATCCCTCCCGCCAGGGACGGTGGGGCTGCTGCTGCCTCTGAGGGGAGCAAGTGCTAGCGTCTACACAGACCACCCGGCCTTGCGCCCTCAGGGGCACCCGCGCCAGAGAGCAGCGCCTTCTCACCAGCACGGCAGCGCTGCCCACGGTGGTGATCGCCGGGGGCACCTTCGGTGGGGGTTGTGCGGGGGGCGCCTGCGGCTGCGCCGGAGCCTGCTGCTGGACGGCCGGCGGGCCTGCAGGCTGCTGGCTGCCGGCTGCCTGGGGCTGGGGCAGAGGCGGGGGCGGCTGCTGCGGCGGCGGGGGCTGCGGCTGCGGCGGAGGCGGCGGGGGCTGCGCCACGGGCGGCTGCTGCGCCTTCTGCTGATCAGCCAGCGCCTACGGGGACGGAGAGGAGAGCACCCGTGGGCAGGAGCCCAGCGCGCCCACCAGCCCAGTCCCGCGCCGGCGGCCCGGCCCCCACACCTTCTTCTCTTTGGCAATTCGCTCTGCTCGGAGAGACGCGACCTGAATGGGAGGCAGCGGCTTGTCGTAGTTGATCCCGCTGAAAGACAGCAGCAGACGCAGAAAATAAGGGGCCACGCTCGGAGGGAGAGGAGCACTCCAGAAACCCCGAGCTCTCGCCGCCCAAGCCGCCAGGTGCTAGGAAACAAGTCCCACCAACCCCTCCTCAGAGAAAATTGCTCGTGTTGTCCAAGACCCCGTCTCCCACTTCCCTTCGACACAAAACCTTCCAGAAGGCAGGCGGTGGCCTGGTGCCCCACAGCAACACACAGTACAGGGCCTAAGACACCAGACACCCTGGAAGGTGTGTGGGTGCACCTCACGGCAAACCGCCTGCCCCTCCCACCCAGCCCACCAAAATGACCACCAGCCCCAAGCTGGGCCTCCCTTCCCCAGCGGAGCATCAGTCCCTTCCAAGAAGCTGCCCGCAGCCCTGCATCCCCAGGTCCCACTCTGGCCTGCAGATGCCCCAGGTCCGTAAGACCGATGCCAGGGCCCAGGTTACCTCCCATGGCGCCAGGCTTCCCGGGCGCAGAGGTTGACCAGCAAAGCCCAGAGGGAGGGCCCCTCACAGCCCGGCACCACGAAGTCCCCACAGGACCCCCCACCCTCTCACGGAACCCTTGCTCCCGGGGCCTCCCCCGACCCCACCCAACACTGTGAGCGACCCACCTCTGATGCCTCCCACCGCAGACAGCCTGGATGTGCTTGAAACCCTGTGCACGCCCTCCCCATTTCCAGGCCTCCCCTGCCTGGCAGGGCTGGGGCCGCACCACAGCGGTCTGCTGCTGCACATCAGCCTCCCACCCCCCATCGCTCACGCCCGCTCACTTAGTGACCTCTCACCCATTCTCTGACCTCAACCACATCCGTCTGCCCTGATCCCCCCACCATGCCCCACTCTTACACTGACAGCCACGCCTTCCTCCACCAACACTCCCTGCATCACACTTGGCAAACGTATACCCATGCCGGGCTCCCCTGGTCTGTCAGTTCCAGGTCGGGCCAGGTGCCTCCACTGATGAGACAGAAACCACCCCATGCACATCAAGGCCCCCCGCTAGGCCACCCGGCCTCACTGACTCCTCCTTGGTGTACAGCCTGGCCCCCGACCCCTCACGGACCCTTGCCTCTGGCTGCCACCTCCAGACCCCAGAGGACACCCAGAACACAGAAGGCTGCGTCCCTACCCAGCTATAGACCTACATGCTCAGTTCTCCCCTCCGCTCCCCTCTCCACCTCCTAGTCATGTCCTCTGGCCCACGTGGGATCCAGCCCTCTGTCACGAGCCAAACACAGAAACAAACCTGGGCCCCCAGGATGCCACAGGCCTGCGCTCACCTCTCAGCCTCCACGACCTTACCCCTGCTGGGCTTCACACGGAACCTATTCCCGCTGCTGCCCCCAGTCCACCTGCCTCCCTGCTTGCCTGCCCCCCCACCTCAGAGGTACAACCAGGGGCCCCCTGTGCTTGTCCTGTGGACCTGCGGGCCCCACACACTGCAAACCCACGACGGCCAACCTAACACCCCCTCACGCTGGTGTGACATCCGGCAGAACACACCCTTGTCTCGCCCCCAGGCCCCACTCGCCCTTGGCTCTGCCAGGCTGCTCCATCCACCTGCAGGACGGGTCCTCGAGCTCTCCAAGATCACTCCGAGTTTGCATCTCGCCACTCATGGAAATAAGAACGTGGCCTTTTGCTCGCTACTCAACTGCTGGGCCCAGCAGAGCACTAGGCACGCAACCCGCCCATAGATACTAGTTGGATGAAACAATCTGGTAACGTCACTCACGAACCCACGCTAACGCCCGCTCTGTACTCCAGGATCCAGAACCTTACATCCACAGGCGTGGAGACACCGTGTAACTCAGATAAAGAACGCGAAGGTGATTCGTGCTCTGAGAGAAAACAGAAGGCCAAGCTGCAACTGTCGACAAGGTGGGTAAGGTGACGTGTGAGGGGGTCCTGGGCCCAAGCCCCGCATGTGTCCCGGAAGGCCGCCCCAGGCGTGAGCAGTAGCGCACGGCCATGAGGCAGGCCTGCAGAGCGGGATGGGCTGCACAGGCCTTGGGCTGCCTCAGAGCTGCCAGGAAGGGCCGTTGGGGGTCTCAGCAGAGATGTGCGCCGCTGGGGGCCTCACTGAGAGCACGTAAAGAGAAAGCAAGGCCTCCGGTGTCCTGCAGACCCTCCCTCGGGCAACCACGAAGGGTCAAACCAGACGAGTACCTGGGCTTCATGTAGACATGAGGTTCCCACCACCTCAACGTAAAGCAAACAGCCGAGAGCACGGGGAATGGGCAGCACGCACACCCAGCGTCTCCCTGCCCGTCCTGCTGTCGGTCCTCTTCTCGCTCACTCAATTTCAAAGCAAGCACACCCTCTCCTATGCTGGCTATACTTTCAAGGTAGAGCCAGTAACACACACGCCAGGTGAGAGGCGGGCACGGCCGAGAAAGGAGAAAGCCTCTCCCATCTGTGACCCCTGCAGCCTGCAGGCGAGGACACACCCTCGCCACGGCAGCACCACGGGGCACTCGCCAGCCCCCACCAGCCCTGTCTGGACGCACAGATTGCACGATTCGCTGACCACACTAAAATGAGATCATTTCCAAGAGTGGAAAATACAGAAATACCTTTCTGCCAACACGGAGGCGTGCTTGGGGTTTTTCTGAAAGGGATTCATGCCAAGCCTGCAGTACAGAAAAGGAGACAAGGGTTACCAAACAAGGAGTGCCCAGGAAGGCCGTGTGGCCGGCACACTGCGCAGGCCAGCGTCCCAGCCCGGGTTCGACCCGGGGGCAGGGCGGGAAGGGCATGGGGAGCATACAGAGGCTTGATGGGGGGGCTTCTCTTGCCGGCTGTCATCTTCATCAGGTCGAAGTGGCTCGTGTACAGCTGCGTGTGCGTGGCGTTCTCGTCCTGGGCGTACATCTGGCCGGTGCGCAGGGGCCGGTTGTTCTTACTCTGAGACGAAACCCACGGCAGCACGTCAGTCAGCCAGTGGCTCATCTGGAGGCCCGACCTCAAACCTCCCGACCGAAAACGGTTCCTTCTTCCCGAGGCTCAACGCCACTGCCCACCGCCTGCGAACACTGTTCCCTCCGCACGTCACCTCGCGCGAACCCGCAATCACCCAGTGCAGGACTCCCTGCCTTCGCAGGGAAACGTGACCGCTGGGCAAAGTGCCCAAGGTCACACGGCAACTGCTGCAGAGCCAGCGCACCTCCGTTGGGGACAGACCCTGGGAAGCAAGCAGAGGCTGCCCAGGCACAGGCCTCCGCCCACGCGCACAGGCAAGGGGAGAGGTGTTGGGGGCGTGGGAGTGCTCTCGGGGGCTTCACGGTACTACCGGCGGACGGCCTGCCGTCAAGCCAAGCACCTGCTCATTTCCAAGACACCTCAGTATCCCGCACAACTTCGGAGCGACCCTCATCCCCGAGAGAAAACTCCAGTCTCCTGACACCGTGTGTGTAAAGCGAGCGTGCTTGTTGGCAACCAGGTCTCACAGCTGGGCCACAGGGCTCCCTGGGACTCCCCCCCACCCAACCACGTCCCAGGCTCTCACTGCCCCATAACCAGGACTCCAACACGGTGTGCCAGAGGGAAACTGTTACACAGTAAGAACTGCACACTGGAGGGCCGCGCACACGCGCCTTCCCACGTCGTCTGTGCTGAGCAAGGCTTTGTTTCAAGGAGACCCACATCAGACAAAACTCAGAAGAACAAGACCAGCATGGGAGGCTCCTGAACAGGGGACCGCATCTGCGAGCGCTCCCACGTCCCAGCAAAGTGAAGGAGGAAAGGCAGAACAAGAATAAAATCAGGTAAGTCATGGTGAGCCCAGGTAGCAACGAGCGGGAGGGGGCTCCTTCTGGAGCCCCCCCCACGGGCTGCCACCGGCGCGCAGCTGCTTCTGACCCCGTCACCTGGCCTTCTGCACAGCTGCTGGCCTGTTTACCCACGCTGTCCCCTCGGAGCTAACAAACGCACTTCTGCCTTTGCTCTAGATTAGCTTCTCCCGTGACCCAGAACGGAAGACAGACCTTCAACTTTACGCGTCTCCCTGTTAACGTCACGGCTGTCGCTAGGAGGGTTTCCAACACAGAAGAGACCAAACATGAGATTCCACGAAGTCTCGCTGGCGAAGGCGCCACAGATGGCATTGTGAGGAACACTCGCTTTCTTGTTTTTAAGCGACAAGCCAATAAAGGCCTTAAGACAAAATGTTTCCAGGAACACGAAAACAGGACGGTTGAAGCCATGATTTGCACACCACACCTGGGCTCCGCGTGTGCGCCTCTGCCGCATCTGCCCCGTGCCATCCGGTGGGCTCCACGCGACCCCGGTCAACGCCGGCAGCCCACCAGGTGAGCAGCAAGAAGGGGGGATCGGGGAAGACAGCAGATGGACAAACAGAAAGAGACCCTCTCGGCCCAAGAGCACCAAGAGGCACGCAGGGGAACCACACCGCAGACACGCTTGTCCGAGGGGCTGGCTCTCGGGGGTCAGGCTGCCGCCACCATGGAAACACACCAAATACCCGGCCTCCATGTGCTCAGCCTGTGTGCATGCGCACCGTCAGCTGGGACCAGGGTCCGGAGCCGGTCCCACCACCGTGGCAGCCGACACGGCCGGTGGGAACCTGGAGCAACGGCACGGGAGGCACCGACAGACTTCTCGCCAAATAAGCCAACAGAGCCAAAGTCCCCTTCATTTACCCGACGCCTTTTCCAAAAAATAAAAAGAAGGGGCGCCTGGGTGGCTCGGTGGGTTAAGCCTCTGCCTTCAGCTCAGGTCATGATCTCAGGATCCTGGGATCGAGCCCCGCGTCGGGCTTCCTGCTCCGTGGGAAGCCTGCTTCTCCCTCTTCCACTCCCCCTGCTTGTGTTCCCTCACACTATGTCTCTCTCTGTCAAATAAATAGAATCTTTAAAAAAATTAAAAACAGAAGAAGAAAGAAATGAAGGTAGGAGCAAGCTCTCAGTAGCACAGGAGCCTCCAGATGGCATCTGGAATTTTCCAGGCACCTCGGGCAAGCTCTCAGGCCCGGGGCCAAGTCCCGCACTGCCTGCAGCCGGGACAGCTGTACGCGGCACATGCCAGGCGCGGCACAGGCCTCCTGCCTCACTGGCCTCCCCCGAGCGCGGGGGCTGGAGTTCTGCAGTCACCGAGTGGAAGGGGTCTGCTCTCACCTTGCCCTCCTCCCTGGGAATGAGCACGTTCTCATAGCGGCTCCGGCACTGCTTGGAAGAGCGGTAGATGCGGCTGCAGGAGTTGACGACGTCGCTAACGAGGTCCCAGTTGGGCGTGTGGGCCGGAGACACGATGGTCAGGTTCAGAGGCAGCTCCAGCAACTGCTTCACGGCCTGCAGGACCGGGTTTCAGGCGGCACCTCAGCGAGCCGCAACCACAGGTGCACACGCTTGCCCCAGGGCTATGACCCTGGGACGCGGACAGGAGGGGACAAGACGTGGCCTGTGGGCCACGCTCACCTGCAGCAGCGCCCAGTCTTCACTGATGAGCCACTCGGGGTTGTCTGGGCCCGACTCGGCTGTTGGTTTGGCAAAAGTCGGCAGTGGCTTGGCAAACTGTGTCTGCTGCTTCAACAGAATATTCTTTTTCTGCTCCTTCCCTTCCCGGCGCATTTTCAACATGCCGGGCGTGGCGCGGTCGAACAGCGAGCGAGGGGGGACAACCGGCTCCCCGTGGCGCTGCTTCTTCTTCCTGCCTGCAACTGGACAGAGAGCCCTTCTCAGCGTGGCCCTCGGCGAGCGGACTCTGCCTTCGCGGGCGAGCAAACAGGGACGAGGACAACTGAGGAGGCCGGGCACGAAGGCGTCTGGGGCAGACAACCCGACTCTTCTGCCCTGACGCCGCGCAGGCCGCAGGCGTGCCACTCCAGCCGCGCCCCCCACTCCCCGCCAGCCCGGCCGCAAGTGCGCACCTGAGGGGTCCGTGCGGTGCCGCCGGCGCTCCTTCCTCACGTACACAGGAGGCAGCTTGGACTCTGGGATGGGCGTGGTTTCGTACGTGAGACACAGGACTGGGTCCACGTAGATGTCGTTGTCATCCTGGGGTGGCGTGGGCGGCGTCCAGAGCTGCGCGGAGAAGGCGCGCCGTGAGCAGTGTGCCCCGGGGCCGGCGGCCGCCCCGGCACTCAGGGAGACCATACTCACCGGCATGACCTCCACCTGCCCGTCGGCACCTTCGCACACGTACTCCTGCGGGGGAGGGCAGCGCGTCAGCACGACGCAACGTCAGATGCGCGCCGCGAGCCACCGGCTCTCTACCTGCTGCCCAGCAGGTCTCCAGGGACCTGCGACACCGCCTGAGCACACCCGGGAAAAGCGCAAGCAGAAGCAGAGATCTGCAGCCAAGCCCGAAGCAGCACACTCCGGCTGTGCCCGCCTTGGGCACCGCGCCGAGCCGCACGTACCGCGTTGTAGGCGTCCTCCCTGGTGTAGGTGAGAAGCTGTTCCTGCTCCTGCTCCCGCAGCGCCCGCGCCTCCCTCTCCCGCAGCGCCCTCGCGTTCTGGGCCTCCCACTCCCTCACGGCGGTCAGCACGGCGTCCTGGCGGGAAGACCGCAGAGAGGAGCCCTGAGACCCGCCCCCGCCGCCCCGCCCCCTGCTCTTGCCGTCACCAGCCGAGCCCCGCGTCTCCCCCTGCGTGGGTCCCCGTGCCCCGTTCCCGCCCCAACAGGTAACTGTCCATCAGGCACCGAGCCGCCCCCGGGAGACGCGTTCCCGGGGTTTTCCCGGACTCGATCCGTCATGCTTCCACACGGCTCAGTCGGTTTTTATTCCCTTCACCCCACGCAAGTCACGCTGGCTTCAGGCCAAATTTGACTCTGAAGGCTGAGCCCGCCCTTACCTCCCCGGCTCCCTCCTTGTCGGGGCCAGCCGGCGCGTGGAACAACTCCAGGTAATTCAGCGCGTACTTCTCAATAGGCGTGAGCTGTTTCAAAAATCGTTTGAACGGGGTGAACAGCAAGTTAACGAAGGTGGAGGCCCTCGGCCGACCCCCACCGACACTTGAATCAAGAAAGCGATGGTTCTTACTCTGAGCAACCAAAGGAAACTTTCACAGAAGACTCAAATGTCCAAAACACCGAGGCGTATGGGGAAAAATCAGGCTGAAGTAGAAGACCGCGCGCGCCCAAACCTGTTCCATGAAGTCCGCTAACTCCTCCAGCTGCGACGGCTCCTCCTTCCGCCTCGGGCTGTCGGAGCCGGACGCCCCCGGCACGGCTTCCTCCTCAGGTTTCTGGGCGTCTTCCTCCAGATACTCGATGCTCTTAAGGGCCTAAAGAAGTTACGTGCTTGTCTTACTTTCACATATTTTTAAATTCCAGGGTTTGGAAAAGGAGCCGCCCCACGTCACGCCAACGAGACACACCCGCACGGCACGTGGAGCCTCCCCGTGGTCATGCGCTCCCGCTCGGGCCCAGGGAACGAAGCGCCGAGGGAGGGAGAGAACGAACGTGAGGGGCTCACGGCCACACTGGACGGCGAGGCCCAGGGAAGAGCCACGTGCGGCCACACTACCAAGCTGCCAACCCCGAGGATAGAGCGGGATGGGGCACCTCGTTCAACCTCATGCCTGACACGCACCGTGGCCACGGCTCTGATCGACGAGAACGATTCCGTACGATGCACGAGACACAGGCCTCTGTCCACGGCATGAACAGGAGAAAAATGACCCGACGCCACGGCTGCCAGAACCAAGCCCACACACATCAGGCGTGTAAGACGGGCAGTGGTCCCACAGAGAAACAGCAGCGAGAGGAAGGAGGTGCCTTCCCACCGCCAGCAGCTCAGGCCTGACACGCACACACACGCACACTCACACACTGGGCGCAACCCAACAGTCTCTGGTTCCTGGGTGTCAATTAGGACCTGTACGACCTCTTTCCTTGGCGATTTGGAAAAATCTGCGGCTTACAACGTAATCTGACCTCACGCTGCACGCGGAACACACACTGAAGCGCCCAGGGAAAAGCGAGGCGGACGTCCTGATGACCTGGGGTCAGCAGAACGTCTCTCAAGCAGCACACGAGAGCAACAGCCACGATATAAAGGGCCGCCACGCGGCTTCAGAACGCGCGGTCCCCGCTCACGACCGCATCCCCAAAGGCATCCCCAACATGCAGGAAGGTATTCCATGTGTATCCATAGAGAACACAGACACCGACCACTGAGAAAAAGAAACAGCCCCGTCAACCAAAACACGGGGAAAAGACGTGAGCAGACACTTCAGGGACTGCGCAGAGACGCCCAAATTCAGAGGCCGACAGCAAAGGCAAATCCCACCCGAGACATGGCACATCTGCCACACGCTGTGGGGAAGGACACGCCAGGCCCTGCCTCCGATGCTGCCAGAGCACAGATCGGCCTGGCCATCCCCTGTGGGTCACACGCACGCTCCCCGACAACCCAGGGGCCCCACCCCAAGGTGCGTTCCCCAGAAGTCAGCGGAAACGCACACACGCATCTGCCAAGAGACACGGAGAAGATATTCACAGATGCACGGCTCAGAACAGGCGGTGGGCCGGAGAAGGACGTCACAGCAACCCACAGCGCAGTGTCGCAGAGCCGCGAGAACCACCACGACCTGAACCAGAAGCCGGACCCGCATGGCAGCTGTGTGGCAGAGAGCAGCACTAGGGGATGGGAGTGGGGGGGGGGGCGGTGGTTTCTGGGGAGCTTTCCCTAGAACACCCTCTCAAGCTCCTCTCTGATGCAGTGCTCCCACGGGGTTCTTGCGCTTCAACGACACCTTCCCCGAAAGCTGAAAGCTGTTTCCCTGCACGAAGCACCTGAGGAGCGTCGCCCCTGCTGGAGGAGTCCCGGACTAGTCGGGCAGCAAGGATGTCGCCCGGCACCGCTGCTCCGTGCGCGGCTACTCCGACCGTGCCCTTGCCACTGGCCTCTGCGACGGCCCCCACGACTCAGACTCAGCACACAGCCAGAGGGCCATTTGGAAGAACACAGCCAGGCCCCACCGCCCTCACCCCTCATCCCCTGCTGCCCCCCAGCTGCCCGGATGGTCCCTCTGCCTACACCGCCCCTCCCTGAACACCGGTCCCGGCCATAGCACAGAGAGTCCGTATTCTACCCGTCTGCTGGCTTACAGTCTTTCCTCTTACTGGAACGTACGCTGCACGGGGGGCGGCGGCACACCACGCCGTTCAGTCAACGCTAGGTCCCTCCTGCCTAGAACATACCCGACGCGCGGCCAGACACTCAACACACACTGGGACAGCACCTGTGTGTTGAGCTAGCGCGCTGCTCCGCCCGGTACGCACACGTCCCTGAGACAACTGCGCATAGCACGCCACGTTCTGCACCTACACACCCTCCTGCCTCTCGTTTCTCTCCCAGGACATCTGCGACACTTTCAGTAGAAAGGTCAGTATTTCTGGGAGAGAACTGACCTTTTTTTTTTTTTTAAAGATTTTATTTATTTATTTGACAGACAGAGATCTCAAGTAGGCAGAGAGGCAGGCAGAGAGAGAGGAGGAAGCAGGCTCCCTGCTAAGCAGAGAGCCCGATGCAGGGCTCGATCCCAGGACCCTGAGATCATGACCTGAGCTGAAGGCAGGGGCTTAACCCACTGAGCCACCCAGGCGCCCATGACCTTTTCTTTTTAACCTCATGCACGTAACACCTGTTTTTAAAAGAACGAGGTGTGGGGTCATCATACACGGCAAACTCCAGGAAGGAGGCAGGAGGATCCGCTCCAAGTGGTCATCGCTGAGCCAGGGGGAGGGTCTGGTGCGGGACACCTGCTTTTCATGATAAATCCCTGAAGCTTTTACATGTATGTATTACTTCTCAACCAAACGAGAACCTTTAAAATAGCCAAAGCTGTGGCAAGTCCTCCTCACCAAGGGCACGGGGATGGGGGTAGAGGGGCACCACAGGGGAGCCAGGGCAGCCATCTACCCTGGGCAAGAGAGTGGGAAGAGGCCCAGGACATGGGGGTACCTCCGAGGCCAAGAGCCCAGAAACTGACACCCAGGAAGGAGGGGGAGGAGGGGGCGACCCCCCCAAGCAGGCCAAGGGAAAGGGGGAGTCCTGGGGGGAGCTGCAGCCAGGCTACTCCACGAAGCAGGGCAGGAGGGGACGTGGCCCCAAACAGGTCTACGGTGTGTCTACACAGCCAGCACTACCCAAAAACACAGCACACAGGCCGCGCGTGTGATTTAACTTCAGAGGCTCAGGCATTAGCTGTGTAAAAAGGCAGTATTCTACTTAACCTGATACATCCAAATATTACTTCAACAAGTAACCAACGTAAGACGGTACCAACGAGATCGTTTATGTCCTCCTTTGTACTGTCCTGACAACCAGCTGTGCACCTCGCACTCACATACAGGACTCCCATCAGACAGGAGTGAAGACAGCAGGCCACGGGCATGGGCAAAGCAGTCAAAGCAGGTCAGACAGGACAGGTGAGGCACGCCCCCCTGTCAGCTGCCCGCTACGGCTCAGGGGAGGCAACGTGGCTCGGGGACAGCTGATGAGGACGGGGACGACTGCCAAGCTGGACAGCAGGCGCCTGAGGCCCCCAGACTTTACACTGCTTTTTACCTGCTTTTCCAGATGAAAACGCCCAGGGGAGAAAGCAAGCAGGCAGGAGGGGTATAACAGGGCTGAGCGAGGGGGGGCTACAGAGCAGGCAGCGCGCTCAGGGCCCACGGCACGTGCAACACATCCTCGGGGACCCCCAGGGCAGGCCATCCGCCCTCACCTCAATGAAAGGTCTTGCAATTTTGGGGGCGATGATTTCTGTGGCAGAAGGCTCCTGAGAGAGGACCACGAACTCCTCCGCCTTCACTGGGAAGCCGGCATCGTCAGTGGGAGAGCACACCTCAAACAGCTCCTGGATGGTCCGCTGCATACGAGACACACGTTAGCGTCCAGCCGGAAGCAGGTTGGCGCCTGACCTGAGTGTCAGACCGCGTCACCAGGGAAACCGCCCAGCAACTCCTCACCTGCGCGCTGAGCCGCGTTGCCTGCCCCCACCCCCCACCCCAAACACCAGGTAGCAACCCCGAGGACGGCGCGCCCGTGATGGCACCTGTGTCAGGAAGGCCATGGAGTAGTCATTGCCCTGTGCGGCTACTTCCCGGATCAAGTCTTTGGTTCCGTTTTTCAAAAGCTTCTCTTCAATGGAATTACCACTCACAAGCCTACAAAACACAGACCCGTGTACGATGACAGCTGGGCGTCCGGAAGCACGCCGCCACGAGCAGTCAGGGTACAAGGGTGGGGAGGCTGGTGGCACAGCACCCAGACACTCGGGCAGGAGCTGCACAGCTCTGCAGGTGCTCGGGGCATCCCCTGTGAGGCGGTCAGGGCCATCTCTCCCACCCCACCTCTAGCCACCCCTACCGCCCCCGCCACACCTAGAAATGCCCTCCTGGGTCCCCTGTGAAGACCTCCAGTGTGGACAGCCTGGCAAGCCCGCTCACAGGACACAGTCCGCACTGTCAAGGAGTCACGTTTACACGCAACAGTGGGCGGCATCTGCTTCACCGCATCTGCGTGCTGCGTTCTCACCAAGCGGTGCGCTGCAGAGATTCCCCGCCCCACGCCCAAACACTTCCAGCGGCTGCTCGACGCCCAAGGCATGACTGTACCCCAAGCACAGGCACTCTCTGTCCCAGCTGTGTGCTGTAACAAGCTCCAGAAGGCAGCGACGCCACGGGCCGGCTCCCGGGAAGGAAACGCTGGGCACAAAGGGCACGCACCATCTCCAGCCCAGCAGACCCTGCTAACCGGATGTCCAAACAGCGCAACAACCCTACATCCCCAGTCAGGGCGGGCGGTCCCCGGCCATCACCACTAGCAGCTGTGCCCACCGCTGACCCGTCGGGGCGCGTAACAAAGACCATCACACGTGCAGCACCTACTCTCCACCCATGAGCCTGTGCATCCCACACGTGCGTGCGCAGCTGGAATGGCCCGCTCGGATGCTTGGGTTCATCCCACTTGTCTCGAAGAAGGGCTCATTTACCTTTTCTTCCTCAAGGTGCATGAGCGATCTAACCCTGTCTGCTGTGAGAATTGCAAATCATTGTCCCAATCTTACTTGGGCATTAGCTTTGTTCATGGAATCTTCTTACAAAAGCCAAACTTCGGCTTTCATTTTAACTGCAGTCCGATATGTCTGCCTTTCCTTCCCTCCAAGCTTTCTGTCTAGCTAAAGTGATCCCTCCAAGCCACAGGCACCACCTCTTCAGTGCTATGCTAAGACCACCACTTCCTTTCTATAGCGGCGTGCCTAACCCTGGGGCCGGTGTTCTGGCCATCAGGTGGGCCCAGCACTCCGGCCCCGGCTCTTCCTCACGGTCCACAGCGTCAGCAGCAAGTGCTAAACGACCTGGGCCCCAACGAAGCTGGAACCGCACCCGCTGGTTCATGCCCGGCTGTTCACGGCTTCCCTCCGACGCCGCCTCCCCTGCCCTCTGCTACAGCCCTTGTCAGCATCTCCACTGGCTGCTGTCAGCTACCCTTCGCTCCAAATACACTGTTTTTAAAGATTTTGTTTATTGGGTAGAGACACAGAAAGAGAGGGACCACACGCAGGGGAAGTGGGAGAGGGAGAAGCTGGGCCCCTGCTGGGCTGAGCAGGGAGCCCAATGTGGGGCTCAATCCCAGGACCCGGGATCGTGACCCGAACCGAAGGCAGACACTTAACAACTGAGACACCCAGGCGCCCCCAGATACACTTAAAAAAACACTTTATCCGGGGCTGCTTGGGTGGCTTGGTCGGTTACGTGTCAACTTGGGTCATAATTCCGGGGTCCTAGAATCACCCCACGTTGGGCTCCTGCTCAGTGAGCAGTCTGCTTCTCCTCCTCCCTCCGTCCTTCCTCCCACTCATGCATGCATGTGCTCTTTCTCGCTCCCTCTCAAATAAAGAAAATCTGAATAATAAAAGCAAATAAATCCCACTTTATCCACTCATGGGTGCGCATGCACGCATATACACAAACCCCCACGCCCCCACGATGACAACTTTCCTAAACACTGTTCTGCGTTTGACATCACTTTGGGGAAAGCACATTTTACACACCAGGTCTTCCTGTGCGAGAACACGGCTCAGTCTCCAACTCACATCTTACCACATTTTGCACAATTTGGTTCTCATTTCCTACACAACCTGCATCTTTACTGCCAAGACTATTCCTGATTGGTGGATTACGGCCACTGAGAAGAAAAGAGCTTTCCCGCTTCCGGCTGGTAAGCGCTGAAGGGTCACAGCCTCCGTAACCGCGGAGAGCAATCACGCAGGAAAACGTTGCGCGCACAACACACACAGTGCGCCAGGCTGCACTTTACCAGCACGGAGACAGCCCGCAACGCGCCGCTGAAGGAGGAGCGGTTACCGAGGCCGTGGGCAGCAGCCATCTAGACAATGAGAAAGACGCCTGGAAAGACACGCAGCAAACTGTTACTAACTGCCATCTCTGAAGGACACTTCTCCACGGACCTCAGACAGGCAGCGACACAGCTGCTCAGACTCCGCCTTCAGAGGACTCTGCCTCGGTTGCAGGTCACAGGCACAGGCCAGGGCCTCGCACATGGTGCCAGCACCACGTACCCGCCCGCACACCCAGTGCCAGTACATACTGCAGACCCACTGTTGTCGCACGATCACACTAAATGCTTCTGCGAGTTCAGACACGCACGGGACAGCCGGCTCCACTTTCCTCAGCCACGTGCGGGGCCAGCAGAGGCGGTGCACACGGGTCTGAGCTCTTCCAGTCATTTTACTGACAGACAAGGGGCATCGGACAGGGCTCTAGAAGACGCGCGACAGATACGCGTCGAATGCACAGCAAGTTGTGTGTAAGCAACATAATTTGAGTGCAGTTTCAAGCAAACTAATTATAAACTGAGCAAACGTTGGGCCTAAAGAAAGAACACACAAAGCAGCAAGAACAGAAATCTGCCTCAGAAAAAATAAAGCGGTCGAAACTTCTGGAACAAGTTGTAACGTACACTTGAGCTCCACGGGGTGCTTCTGCTCCAGCACCTGCTGCCCCTACACCTCCACACTCCTTGTCTCATCCCGCCACCCTCACCTGTAGATGTGGACATCCTTGCGCCTCCCGATCCGCTCGCACCACTCCTGGGCCTTGGCGTCCATCACGGGATTCAGGTCATTGTCATAAAACACCACTGCATCAGCCTCCACCAGGCTCACACCTGTGGCACGGCTGTGGGTCGACAGAATGGCACAGAAGATCCTCCTGTCCCTGTTGAAACTCCTCATCAGCTCCTGAGATGAAGGAAAGCCCTCGGGTTAGCTCCCCTCGTCGGCATTGGCACAGCTCGGTGCTCCTAGGAACGAACATGCAGCCATCTCCTGCTGACTGTGCACAGACACCCCCACGCGCTCTGCACAGGCCAGGCCTCACCGACCAAAGGAAAACGTCCGCCTCCACCTGACATGGACTGTCAGCTCAAGCCGTAGGCCCCAGGAGAACACAGAGTCTTCCTGGGGAGGGACGTGTGCTCGGTCCTGTACCCTCAGGCAATGCCTGGGTCTTCACAGCAAAAGACCCAGGAGTAAGGCTGAGGGAGCAGAGAAACAGGCCAGAGAGGCTTTCAGCCTCCTGGGAGCACAGCTCTCTGCAGTGCGCTCAGCACCAAACCCGACCGTCACAGGGACCCCCCCCTTCCCGGAGAGTCCACGTGTGGTCTGTGAAAACACTACCGACAAAGCTCGCTCCTTAACCCGGCGCTGCGTCCCCTCTCAGGCCCTTGTCCACGTGCACGCCTGAGGGTGGAAAGGCCCACGTGTGCGGGATCACAGAGTCTGGGAACCTGCTCCCAGCGGAAGCATTCTGCTGGGCTACTCCATCCCGTTCCAAATGCTTTGATGACCAACTTGCAGTCCAGCCCACGGGCACTCGGCACGGGGCCACCCAGCAGCACGGCACATGCACGACCTATGGACCCATCGTGCTGCCAGATGTGTGCATCGCTCCAGGGAGGAGCAGAGGTGTCACAGGCGCACTGAGCCCTTGGCGCAGAATCACTCGGGCCGGCGCACGGCCTGCACCGTCAGCCTGACTCCTAGGAAGCCGTGCGGCTCTGCGCCAGCCAAGAGCGCAAGAGATCACCCGTCTGGCTGCGCCAACCCATGGGACACAGCCTTAGCCAACCTGACAAGAGACACAGGGGCACACAGCACGACCTGCATTTCCCGTGGGGTGCCTCGTGGGGGCTGTGCCCAGGCTCTCACCCCAGCCACGTCGGAAGCTCACCAGCCCGCTCCTCATGGCACAGGCCACCACGCCCCAGCAGCACGTGCCCCTCCTTCCTTACCTGCCGTTGCTCGCTGTTCGCGTTCTCGTCGATCCTGATGTAGGTGAGATAATGGAAGTTCAAGAACATTTCTAAAATGTCCAACATGAGAACCATTTGCGACAAGATCAGCACTCGACGTCCCTCAGACTTCAACTTCTGAAGCAAGATGGCTAAAGCTTCGAGCTTTCCTATGGAACAAACGACACCGAGTTTGAGCCCGGGCGAGGAGGGCCGACCTCGAGGCCAGCGCAGACGGGCGCCCCTGTCGTACCTGAGTCGAACTGCACCAGTCGGAGCTCCGGAAACCGGAGGGAGCGCAGCGCCGTCATCCGCCGCAGCTGCTGCGCGTAGGGCGCCGTGTGCTCTCGCAGGCGGTGCCTCAGGAGGCTCATCCTGCGGCTGTAGAGCGACGGCGGCCTTGCCACCCACAGGGACGGGGGCGCAGCCACCACCGGAGGGATCACACACACCACTCTGAGAAGCAGAAAGCACGTGGGTCAGACCCGCTGCCTACGGCGTCTCCATCAGCAGCTCCTCCGTCTCAGGAAGCAGAGGGCCAAGAAGGAAGCAGGCAGAACCTTCTACTGGTGTGGCCAAAAAAAATCCAGGGTGCTTAATCACAGTCCCACGGGGTGACACAGCTGCTGGCCGTGTCACAGCACCATCCATCACAGAATCCGTGGGAGCGAGTCCCGCCAATCCTGGCCCCTGCCGGCCCCCAGCCGGAAACAAGCTGCATAGGGCACCCCCCAGAGCCTGCAGGAAAGGTCACAGAGACACCCCATTCCCTGTCAAACTCATGTTCTGGTGGGAATCTCGGGGTGTGGGTCCTGTTGTCCCCAGGATGGTCTGGGGGAGAACTGCACCCCAGAGCTGGGAGAGCCATGTGCCGTCAGGAGCGGAGCCAGACTTAGCAGGAGAAGGCCTGCTGAGAGCAGCACGAGACTGACTCCAACGGGCCATTACAGCACAGGACACATCCTCCAGACCTCTGGGTGCCCCCCACACCAGGACAGCCTCACTCTGGAGGTCAGCTCAAGCTGCGTTTCCCTGATTTGCTACCAAATACATGCAAATAAAAAGGCCATCTATGCCCAAAACCACTGGTGACAAAATCAAACCACTAAGTAAGTGGACAGCAAGTCCACGCTCACTAACCCGGAGTCCACATGGCCGACCCGCCCGTTCCGCCCACCCGCCCTGAAGATTTGGCATGGCCCTAAGCCAAACCCCAGCCGCTACTCTGTAGATCACCGACACAGTGAGCCAAAGGCTACCACACCAGAAGGGCCACACAGGACCGGGCGAGAACAGAGCCGGAGGCACACCACCCAGCACCGGGGCTCGCAGAGGGAACAGATAACACCCAGCTGAGGAGGGCCCAGGGAGAGGCCCAAGGCAGTCACCTCAGCTCTGCCAATGGAGCAGAGCGTGTCTCTCAACAAACGGTGCTCGACAAGCAGGCACCCACACACAAATACGTGAACGTGAAAGACTCAACCAGACGTCCCGGCCTCCTCGCGGTGGTACCCAGTAAACCCCACTCCTGCAAACAAAGAAACCCCAGATCACTAGCAACCCACATGAATTTGATTGAGCCTCTGAATCTATTTACAGACGATACAGGCAACAAAGCTATACACCAGAGTACACCTCCAGGAACCAATTCAGCAAATCCACATTGTGGGAAATTCTACAGAGAAAACCACCAGTTTTCCTCGACAAATAAACTGCAAGAGGAAAAAACAGGCAAGCCAGAAGTACAACCTACAGATTAGGAGCTACACGACACGTATCCCCAACTGCTGCATCTCTACGTCACTGCCATCCTGATTCGAACCATAAAAACGCTTGAGACAACCACACCTGCGTATGCAGAAGAGACACTTAACGGTATCAAGAACCGTTCTTCTCTTAGCTAGGGTAATGGTACGGTGCCTGTGTTGCTTTCAGAGCACAACGAAATCTTACACAGGAACCCGTCTGTCCGGAGCTAGCTGCAGTCTGTGCTTCCGGGCAGTAAACACTGACGCAGAGCTGGGCAGGAGCCAGTCCAGGGCTGGAGGAGGGTTCCGGGTACACTCGGGTTCACTGCGGTAGTCTGCCTGTATAGGTTTAAAGATTTTCTGAAACACGAGATTCTTCAAATGGGGAAAAATGAATCTAGACACAGACCTAGTTCCTTCACAAACATCAGCTCTGAATGGACCGCAGATCCGAAGTGAAAGGCCGACAAGGGGGCCCTAGAAGAGGGCGCAGGGCAAGCCCGGGTGACCAGGGCCTTGCGATGACTTTCCAGGCCCAGCCCCGAAGGCACGGCCGGTGAGAGGAGGGAAGCTGGATCTCACTAACCCTAAACACGGCCACCCCCTGAAAGCAAATGTTTAAGGAGACAAGCCCCAGGCCAGGGGACGAGAGACACCGCTGATAAAGGACTGGCACCCGAAACATACAAGCACTCTGAAAGCCCAACAGCGAGAAAACAAACATTAAACAATGGGCCGAAGACCCCAACAGACACCTCTCCAAAGAAGAGACGCACACGGCGAAAAGCTATGAAAACAGGCTCCACGTGGCATGTCCTCAGGGAACTGCGGATGACGCTGGCCCCGAGACACCACAACACACGTCAGAGGGGCCAGAACCCACAGCTCGGACCACAGAAGCGGGACGAGGACGAGGGGCCACAGGGCTCTCGCTCACTGCTGCTGGGAACACAGAATGGGGCGGCCACTCGGCTAGTCTGCTGGACCTTTTCTACTGGGTGAAACATGCTCCCACCAGACAACCTGACAATCATGCTTCTGGTTCTCATTCAAATGCACTGGAATGTATGTTCACGCAAACACCTGCACGTGGACCTTTACAGCAGCATCTGTGACTGCTGAAACCTGAAAGCAACCAAGCCGTTCTCCAGTAGGTGCCGGATAAACGGGCCCACGAGACAAGGGGCATCACCGGGAGCGTCGAGCCACGGAGCACTGCCAGGAGCCTTCACCGCATTTCGCTCAGAGAAAGCCCATCGGAAGAGTCCGCACCCTGTACGACTCTCGGAAAGGCAAGCTACGGGAACAGCAAAGAGGTCGCTGGCTGCCCGGGTTTTGTGGGGAAGCGCGACCAGGCGGGGCACGGGTCTTTACGGCAGCTCCCAGACCGTGGGAAGGCGGTGGACACAAGCCGGGCCACAGGAGCACGGCCGGGTCCCCACCGTGAACACTCAGCCGCAGGGCACACAGCAGAGAAGGGCCTTGTGATGACACAGAGAAGACCCATCCTCAGGCCGGACGGGACCAGCGCTCAGTGCAGGGAATGGAGCACAAACAGGGCAGCCGTTCTAGTCGGGGCCCAGAGGAAACACAGCTCGGTGGGCGGGGTGGGGGGGCTGGGCTGGCCCCCGGCCCAACAGCATCTGCGTTTTCATTTTCTCTCCTAGAGCTCGTTTCTGAGTTTAACCCTTAAATACACATCCCTCACCACGCAAAGTTAACTTTTTCGTGTGGTTTTCCAATAAAATATTACTTTAAGAAAAACGCAGAGAAACTCATCAAGCACACAGAGGTGTGCTCCAGCACCTGGAACGTACACGGCTGCTGTGGCCCTGCGCCCAGGCCAGCCAATGTGCACCCAAGCGGGGCCCCAGGGACAGGGCCAGGGCCCAGGGGAAAAGATGCCACCCGAGGATACACAGCCTTCCCGGAGAGACAAGCCGGTGCCAGAGCCGCAGATGCAGGAAATAATTCACCATCGACGTCTGAGAACCACACAGCGAGGAACTGAGATAACAGGCTGCCGGCAGGACAAGCGGGGCCAGAGGCCCGCGGGGCCCACGGAGAGACTGAGGAGTGGGCTCCCACGCAGGCCGCCCTACCTGTCGATGACATCCTGCAGGCAGGCTTGCCGCTGGGTCAGCGTCAGAATCAGGTCCTTCTGACCGTGGGAGGGTGGAATGTACCCGCCCGCTGGCCCGGCCCCCTTCTGCGGGCTGCTGTCAGAAGTCCCGGGCCAAGGCGTCTGCTCTCGGCCGACCACGGAACAAATCCGCAGCAGATCTCGGCCGTAGACGGGGGCCCGCGAGCAGCGCCGCTCGTTGACAAAGTAGATCTGGTCCAGTCGCTCCTTCAGAAATCTGCTCTTCTCCTCCTTCATGGGAAACAGTGTGGAAAACGGTCACTGAGGGACACAGGCCCGGGGCCTGGTCTCGCCAAGCCCCCCAGTGTCCCTCGCGCACGGCGGCCCTGACACACCCGCGTCCCCCTCTACGGTGGTCCCCGACAGAAAGGAGGCGGACAACACAATGTGCGTCTCTGACTGAAAAATCTTTCTCCAGACGAGGTGAGATTTCTAACACCCAGACGACGGCCTCGAAAACAAAAAACGTGGAGGATATCTGCAATCACGAAGCCCAGCTTCTTTGTTATGAAATGTGTTTTTAGAGTCAAATTCTGGGATTCAGAGCGATGACGTGCTTTCAAGGCCCACACGCCGACAACTCCATTAAATACCACAACCCATTAAATACCAGCCCCCCAACAAGCGGCTTCTGAGAAACAACTTCGGAGGGTGAAGGGGCGGCCCGGGAGCCTCACGCAGGGTCGGTGAGGGAGGCGCGTACCTGGGTTGGCCCTCCGACAGGGGAGGCCGGTTTGGAGGCCATTCCGGGTTCTCCAGCAGGCGAGGGGTTGACCGCCACTCGCCCGGGCACACCAGCTGCAGAGCAAGAAGGAAGAGCTGAACGCACATGTCTGCGGCTCCGCAGACCCTCCTCCGGCAGCTCGCTCTAACGACACACTACCACACCCCTCGGGACTGCCCCCAAAGCACCCGCTTGCCAGCCATCGTCTGAGCCGTGGGTGTCTCTCTCCTCTGGTGACAGCTCAGTGTGCTCAGAGGAAGCACCCACACCTGAGGCCCATGGTCCTCCTCACCGCCATCACGTGGCCACACACACATCCCCTGGGACATCACCCGCCCGCCCACCCCCAGCAGGGAGTCAGCACTGCCCTTGTCCACCGAAGCCGGACAGAGCGGTCGCTGTGGCCCACCCAGTGGCCCACCCCCATCTGCCAGGCCACACCGCACATCCTGACACAGACCACACAGGAGGCACCAAGGACTTAAAGGGGCCTGGGGTAAGACAGCCACTTCAGGAGACCACAGGGAGGGTAGGGAATGTCTCCTGCCTTGGGGGATGGGTGCTGGCAGCGGGTTCTGGTGGGGTGGGAGGAGGCCTGGAAAACAGAATCAACCTCAGGTGGGAACATGGGCCACCGCTGGGACACAGAAATGCTACTCCCTGGACCCCATGGCAGGGCCCCACCCAGTCTCACCGCAGACAAGACAGAGACCAGGGCTGATCAGGGACAAGGGCTTCGGGTCGGGAAGGGACCCCCACTGCGTCCACCCACGAGCCCCATCTGACCACCCACTCAGCCTCCTCAGCAGACCACACACGGCTGGGCATAGCAGGGAAGGCAAGACCCTGGTGAGAAGCAGGCCACGGTCGGGCCAGATGCAGAAGGGCCCAGATCCTGCTCCGTACCTGTCCCAGGGGAATATTCCAGCATGCTCATTAAATGTATTTGTGACCTTAGCAAGCCAAATTCTCATGATTCTAAATGTCTTGTCAGAACAAGAAGAAAACAAAAATCCAGGTGAGCAGAGACTATCATATTCAAAATACCTCCGAGAGGAAGGAGGGAGAAGACAAGCCAGGCGGACGGCAGCCTGTCTGCAGAAAGCAGAGACCGCCACAGCTGGAAGTTCGGGTTCTGAGACCTCGGGAACAAATCAGCAGCAGCTAGCTCCCGTCCCCGTCGAAGCAAAGTCACACGGAAAGAAGCTTCCACATGTAGTGACCCCATCAGAGCACTCTACCTGGCGCAGTCACGGGGGCTGGGCCCGGGCCACCGGCCGGGGGCTTGCTTCCCAGGGCGTTGAGGGCTCCCGCTTGAGACATGGTCTGCATCACCACGGGGCCTGGCGGTCGCAGGTAGGACTGCCCCGGAGCGGACACGATCTGAAGAACGCTGCCTGCAATCACACGGGCCCGAGAGGCGTCACTCACGGGCTGCAGGCACCTCCTCCTACCTGCCACGAGCACCTCCAGACGTGCAGGACAAATGAAGCAACACACCGAAAATCCAAATTTAGATTTACTCCAACAAGGCAGTGCAGAGTTCAGTAATTTGGGAAAAAATGACTATTTTAGTTACAGCGAATGAAAAACTAAGAATATAGTCACTTTTACCTAAAGTCAAAAAAACGCTCAACTGGGGCGCCTGGGTGGCTCAGTGGGTTAAAGCCTCTGCCTTCGGCTCCGGTCATGATCTCAGGGTCCTGGGATCGAGCCCCACATCGGGCTCTCTGCTCAGCGGGGAGCCTGCTTCCCCCTCTCTCTCTCTCTGCCTCTCTGCCTACTTGTGGTCTCTGTCTAATAAATAAATAAAATCTTTAAAAAAAAAAAAGAAAAAGGAAACGCTCAACTATTCTTTGCCATTTCTGGCTTCGGGCAATGTGGTGGGCACCAGGACCGGTCTGTTGTGCCTGCCCGAGGCCCCACGCCACTCCCAGAGCCAAGGTCCCAGCTCCGGACCACACATGGGGGCTGGCCGGCCTGTAAAGTCGACGAAAAAACACGTCCGCTCTCCACCCAAAAGTTGCAGCTCTCTCTGCACTCACTTCAAGGTGCTCACCACATTCAGCCTCCGTGTGAGGAAGCCTGACATCGCTCACTCTGGAGGAGTGTCCCCGCGCCGGGCTCCGCGCCAAGGGGGGCCCGCCAGAGGTACTGACAGATGGCCTTGCCCTTTCGGCCGGAAAACTGAAGGAATAGGGAATTAAGCCAAATTAACGGCTGTCTTTGCTGTAGGTGTCCTGGGGCCTCCACTCCGCTAAGCTGTGTGTGACGTCCCAGCGCCCGTACAGAGTGTCCCTGCTCTGGGTCACAGATGCTGCACATACCTCGTCCCGCGGAGGCTGTGGCAGGCACCACGTGTGACCTAGGACCACAGCCAAGGAGGACTCAAGCACTGAGCCACTGCCACCGGTCCCTTAGGGCTAATCCCAGCATGCCTCTCGGACCACTCGTCCTCTGCACAAAGCAGTAACCACAGGAGTACGTCGTGCTCAGACAAAGGTCTAAGAGGCTTTGGCCTCGGAGTCAACGCTGTAAAATCCGTACATGAAAGAACTTAACTTCTACGTAACTTGCTAGTCCTGGGGTGTTTTCAGGACACTTTATTTCACACTAAAGTTAAAAGAGCAGCAAATATTTCTATTTCGATTTTTAAAACACGGAACATTTGGGGCACCTGGCCAGCTCAGTCGGGGTGCAGGTGACTCCTGATCTCGAAGTCGTGAGTTCAAGCCCCACACTGAGCGTAGAACTTACTCAAAAGAGAATAAAAGCAAAAAAATTTCAAAATGGGCAACATTCCCAAAGAGCATATTTCATCGAGAAACAGTATCAGCTACACGGCATGCATCCGCCACAGGCCAGCAGGCCAGCGTTCTCAACACCCCCCGAGGCCGTCTCCGGGTGAGGCACCCACGCTCCTGGGGCCGCCCAACATGCCCAAGTCCAGCAGCGGGAGAGGGGTGGGGACGACAGTGGGGCCGCGGCGGCCGGCCCTTACCTTGCAGCTGCAGCGGCTGGCCTGCGGTGAGCTGCCGCAGCTGGCTGTGCGACAAGGTGAACTTGTTCCCCTGAAACTGCAGCGTCACCGGGGTCTCTGGCTGGGCGACCCGGCTCTGCGGCCCCGCCAGGGAAGCCAGCTGGGCTATTTTGACCACCTCCCCACCTGCGGAAACGCAGAGGAAGACGGGATTAAAACGTCTGGGAGAAGCCTGCAACTGTTCTGCTGACGACCATCTGTCGTCCAGCGTGAGCGTCTGTGGCAAACTGAGGAGTCACAAAAACGTTTCTTAGGCATCGCTTCCTAACGCTTTCAGAAAATGACTCTAACAGAAAAGAGAAAATTAAAATTAACATTGGATCTTAACGGTTGATTTATTTACTCATAACTGCTGAAGATTTTAGATATCAAATCTTAATATAATCAACCAAACTACCAACGAACGTTTTACTTTTCTCTCCAACCAATGAAAAAGCAGCAAACGTCAAATATAGCAGAAATCTATTTCTCATATGTTTTGGAACTCTAATATCAACCTCTTCAGAGACCTTTCAGAATGGGAAGAGTACGTGTCCGATTCACTGCACAGACGTATAGGAGAGATTATACCCCTAACAAGTGTAAGAGAGGGGGTCACTAGCACAGATCCGCCACACAAACGTAGCTGTAAAATACAAAGGTTCCCACTAACTTGGACTACACTGGGGGATTCGATCTAGAACGCTGACTGAAAAAAAGGCCAGACTCAACATCACCTAACACATGGTTTATGAAAACATGACTCGGATGGAGTCCTGTGCACCCGACTCAGAAACGTACGCCCTGCAGGCTCTGAGCGAACGCCAAGGGTACAGGGTTCTGCCCCCAGTGGTTGATCATGAAACCTGAACACTCCCCCCAAGGAAATCCATGCCGGAATGATCGGTGACACCATGTAGAGAACAGTTAGCGGAAGACCAGGAAAATGCCCAGAGGTCCTGCCCACAGAAGCTGTGAACAGGAGGGAACGACAGGAGGAGGCGCGGAGAAGTGTGTGTGGACAGGACAGCCCTGGCCCTGCCCCACCCACACGGAGTGAAGGCTCAGCTTCCGTGGTAGGGTCCCCCCGCAACACCTGTCCCTGGCAAACAGAAAGGTCACCCGTGCCCTCCCCCAGGCAGCTAGCCAGGACTGTAACTCTCCACTCAATGACAGTGGAAGTGAGGCCTCATTATGAGGGACTAGCCTGAACTCGGGGTCTCGTGACACCCGCCCCCCAGCTTCCCAGGGAGACCTCCACACACTGGTCACACCGAGATACGAAGTGCTCTAGGGGGCATCTGAGAAATAGTGGTGCCTAGGACCGTCTCCGTCAGGACACTTCCTACGGCACAGTCAGCAGGGGCCCGTGAGAGATGTGGGAATGTGCTAATGACACTGGTCACAGTAAAGAGATCTAAGAACACGGAGTAACACTGTGATGTTTTCATCACCAAGTTATTATGAGAGCCTCAGCTGAGCAGGAAATCACTCCAGGCTTAAATACGATGGTAAGCAAGAGAGTCAAAATCAGTCATGGTTTTTAACAACCAGCTCCGGATCCCTCGCTGGCAAAGGCGTCCCCTGCTCTCGCCTGAGTGCCACCTGCTCCCCAGGCTGGGCCCCGATGCCCACGGGGCAAGCCTCCAGCTGACGCTAAGGAGAAGTGAGGCTGTCAGTACACCAGTAGAGCATGCGCGGGAAGAAAGCAGAGGTGACGTCCGGGGATCAGGAGAAAGGACAGAGGAGGACAGGGCCCTGGACGCTGGCTCTGCAGAGGGCGTCCCTCTGCACACTTAGGGCCAGAAACGACAGCGTGGCGAAAGGCAGCACCCGGGCGTGGGGTTAGGGAGACAAAGGGAGTGGACAGCAAGGCTCTTCACACACGCTGATCGGAACACAACTTCCCGTGGCAAAGACGTGGCAGAACCGGGAGGGGCGAGGCCACTTACTGGGCAGGCGCGCCTGAGCCTGCGAGGTGAGCACCAGCCCCTGAGGCAGCGCGCTCGGCCCCGCCGGGTGCGGGGGGGCCCGGGGGCGGGGGCGGGGGCGGGGCCCGCGGTTTCGCAGGATGGGCCGGGGCGGGTGCTGCGCCGGAGGTCGAGGCGGGCGGCTGTCTCGGAGCGGGCGCGCCGGCGGAGGCCTGGGAGCTCTGAAACGGGGCTGCCGCCACTGCAATCGATAAGGTTTGTTTGTGCAAAGCTGTTAGAGGTTCTTCACCAAATGCAGTATTTAAACCCGAACTCAAAGAAACAAAACAAACATTTCAGTAAAGTCTCTCGGATGAGAAACCCTGTCTAGAAAACAGGGCGGGGGGCGCGGCATACGGGTGAAACAGAGCCGTCTGCCCGCCGCGCCGTGGCCGAGTGCGCGCTCCCGCAGGGCACGCACCGCGGGCCGCCAGCCGGGCTCCGACGGGACCGCGCCGCATGCGCACGCGGGCCGGACGCGGAGGACCAGGCAACGGAGGCTGGAACTCCGGCCTGTGACCTGCGGCCAGTCAGCCCTACCCTCCTTCACAGCGACAGCGGGGCTCCGGGCCAGCGGCGGCCTCAACGGGAGCGAGCCTTCCCGAGCTCACGTCCACAGTGTGACCCGCACGTCCCTGGTCCAAGAGCCCCCGCCGAGGCACATCTTCAGCAGCACGCCAATAGCGACTCGACCAAGACCACGGTGTCTGGTTCGGGGACAAACTCCACTTTCAAGACGCCAAAAGGGCTAGCCTCGTGAGGTGAGTTCCGCAGAGCCAGAGCAGGCCCCCGCTTCCACCAGAGCAACGGCTGCCCGTCCAGAGGGGCGGGGCAGTACCAGGAACTCCGGCCATGAAGACCCACGGCAACCCCGAGGGCACACCAGCACGGGAGGCATACCTTTTGCATCTGGATTGGCAGAGAACGTGGCAACCGGTGGCCGTCCTCTCACATGGCCCTGAGGAGTGGCCGTGGCTGCAGCAGAGGCCGCCGTCCGGGGCGGGTGTGTGCTGGGGAAAGCCACGGTGCGACCCTCGGGCTTCTGGCCGTACTGCACGGGCTGAAACAACCTGGCAAGAAGGCGTGAGCACCACTGAGACACAGGGCTCGGGCCACCCAGGGACGGGGAAGGTCCCTACTCCCGGTGCTGCTCCAAGAGGGGTCGGGGTTCCAAATGCGCCACTGAATAGCTCAGCATGGGTCTGGGGAGGGGCTGCGCACCCTTGGGACACACACGCCTACCCCGAGCCTGGGGAACCTGGGCTGAACGTGCGCATGGAACGCTCTGAGGTCACAGCACCACCGCGTCGAGTGCAAGTGGAGTGGGTGGGGAGCCACAACCGTCAATCAAGCAACGCAACAGCACCAGGCACGTTGGCCAGAAGCGGTACTGGAGCCCCGGAAGTGACAGTGGCCACTGTTTCCAGTATTTCCACACCACAACACACTCTTTCATCACCCTTTTACCTGGGAAACCATAATGGCAGGAATTCTAGATTTTCAAATCCCCTACGCAGGGCAGCAGCTAGGGGCGGCGAAGAGAAAACCAAGGACCTGAAGCCAGGCACCCCCAGAGCACCGCAGCTCTGCTGGCCCACGTGCAGGTCTGACAGAGGCCTGCGGGCTCCAGCGAGCGCCAGGCAGAGGACAGTGGGCCCCCAAGGCCCTGGGGAGGCCACAGGTAGAACACGCAACGGGAGCAGGCACCTTTCTCTCTAAACTTTTATTTTCTCATTTCTTTCTCCTTTTCAACCCAACCCTGAGATTCTGTATACTCCAACTTGCTGGATTAACCTGTCTTATTAAGTCATTTCCTTCCACTCACTGAGTGTGCTCTGCCCCTCCCAGCCCCGTGGCACAGTCGAAGTCGGTGACGTCCTTCAGAAGTCCCTCTGGTGGGGGGGGGGCGCTCTGCCCACCACCCACCGTGCACCCTCTCCCCGCCACAGCAGCCACCGGAGCACACAGCAGGCACAGCAGCCTGACCTCCTCCCCTCACAGACCCCTCCCGCTGCCCAGGGCTGCCCCACCGCCACCACCACGCTGTCCTTAGGAGAGCGAGGGGCCACACCGTCCCTCCCAGGGCTGCAGACTGCCCACACAGGCCACATGCAGTGAGCTGCCCCACAGACACTGAGGACACCAGCACAGACTCCAGAAGCAGGAGACCCAGTGAGAGGGTCGGCCATTTCTCCCCCTGGCCACAACCACAGCCGGGTCCTCATGTGAACTCCCGGCACACATCCCAGGTCTCTCTGAGGGGCTGTGGTCTGGGTCCTTCCAGGGTGGGGGACATCATGCCCCAACGGCTGATGCGAGGCCAGGCAGGACCCAGCCGGGGACTTCAGTGAGCAGGAGCCACCACTCCATGCCACGCACCTGCTGGGCTTCAGTCTGAGGGTCGCCGGCCTGCCCGACGGGGACGGCGCGGCATACAGCTCGTCCAGGAGCTTCCGCGTCACCTTCTTCTTACAGAGCAGTTCTGCTTCGTGGCGGGTCATTTTGTTCTCTAAGCCAATAAGATCAAATATAGAGAGATCCGTTTCCTAAGAAGAAAAAGAGCAAAGTGTTGCTCTGGGAGACCGGAGGAAAATGACTGGGAACCCAAGCACCTCTCTAACTGGACGGCCAGGCCCCACACAGCCTCACTGCCCAGGACGCGGCCTGAAGCCCAGGGCTCAGGCAGGCTGCTGGACCTCAGCATGCCTCAGCGTCCCCATCGTTAAGAGCACCCCACGTAGCAGCACGAATGGAAAAGGCAATGCTTGGAGAGAGGATGGCCTCGGCAGACAGGGAGGGGGTCCGGACAGCATGAGTGCCAGGGCGCATGGACAAGGGGCACTTTGGGGGAGAGACCCACGTGTACTGGGGAAGCAGAAGGAGGCAGGTGACACGTCACTCGGTCCAGAGCCTGGGTATACGCGTTCCACGGGCGGAAGTGCTGCCTGGGTCCCCAGCTGGGGCAGACGCCCCACGTGCCCAGCACCCGTGTACTTCTCTAATGAGAAAGCGCAGCCGCTCTCCCACCACGACGTCGAGCGTCGAAGGAACGACAGCAGCTACTGGTGAGCCGTCCCACACTCTTGCACACATAAGGGATGTGAAATCCGCCGGCCGTTCCTCGAACGTTAAGCATGGAGTCGGCACATGACCCTGCAATTCCACACCTAGACACGTGTGTGAAAGCCTGAAACCTAGTCCACACGGAGCTGCTGTCAGTGTGCGCACTAACACGGTCACAGCGGCCGAAGCGTGGAAGCGACCCAAGTCGTTAACTGACGGCCAGATCAACACGGTCCCTCACACTGGCGAACGCGACTCCGCCGTACGAAGGAAGGAGACTGGGCCACACGCCACAGCCCAGAGCAACTCTGAAAACACTACGCTCCGGGAATTAAGCCAGACACGAGGACCACGGGTGAGGGATCCCATCTGTGTGCAAAGCCCAGAACAGGTGGACTCACGAGGCAGGTCAGGCAGGGGCTGCCTGGGGAAGGGAGGGAACAGGAGGGACGGCTGGTGTCTGTGGGCTCTCTCTCGGCAAGGACGAAATAGTCCGGAATCAGTGGTGACGAATGCAGGCATTTCCAGCTATCTTACTGCCATCCCAGTCGCTAAAACACTACCAGACAGAGGTGCCTGTGGCTCAGTCGTCAAGGGTCTGCCTTCGGCTCAGATCATGATCCCAGGGTCCTGGGACTGAGCCCCACATGGGCTCCCTGCTTGGCAGGAAGCCTGCTTCTCCCTCTCCCACTCCCCTGCTTATGGTTCCTCTCTCGCTGTCAAATAAATAAAATCTTAAAACAAAAACTACCAGTCACCCAGCATGCCTCAAGACTTGTTGAGCAAATGATGAAAACACCACAACATCACACACAACTAGCTCACAAAAACCAGGTACACACCAGGCTCTTCTCATGGAGTCGACACACACACGGCGGGGGAAGTGCACGATTATTTGTGTCCTAAGGGCACTTGGCCCAAAGCCCCTCAGCCGGGGCGAGGGTTGGGGGGGGGGCGCAAGGAGCACACAGCAGGGCCCCACAATGCACACAACTCAGGAACAGGACCTCATCGCACACACGAGAGCGGCCCGTGACGGTGCTCGCGGAGACCCCCGCACGTGTCCTCCACAGGCCTCACGCGGGGGCCGACCAGTACCCCACACGCCAGGGCTGTCTCCCACGCTCCGGCAGCACCCGTAATGCTAGGGACCCCTCCCCTGCAATCCTCCGGCCAGGACCTGCCCCCTCGGGCCAACCGCGTACGCACCCCCAGCACCCGCGGACTGCTGCCCGGCGCCCGGAGAGACCCAACGGCAGGGTGGGCGCAGACAGCAGCCTCCGGAGCCGCGGGAGCCACGGCGCGTCTGTGCGACACCAGGCGGGCATGTACCTTCCAGGAGTCCCTGTCGAGCGCCTTGAGGACGAGGGAGGCCGAGCGGTACTGCAGAGGCCCCGCCGTGTACGACGACTCCGGGAGCCGGGGCTCCACCAGCCCGGGGTGGTTGCAGATCCTCTGCAGCCGCAGCAGGATGCTCAGCACGTCCACGAAGTGGCCGCTCTTCAGCGCCTCCTGAGTCCTGCTCGCGGGAAGACACACCGTCATGGGCACGGCCACTGCTGTGCCACGGACTCCAGATCGCTCCTGTCAGAGCCCGCGGCTCCGTGGAGTGAATGGTTCCATCCCTCGCGTCTGCTCCCACTCGCCCTCCAGGGGTTCTGACTCTCGGCCTCACTTTCTGTGCCCCCAAAGCAGGCTGGGAGGCCAGACTGCCAGGACTGAGGGTCAGACTGGCACGCAGCTCTCCAAGCCTCCTTGCCCAGCGGAGGATGACACCCAGTGGGGACAGGGACGGATTTCTGCCCCACGGTGAGGAGCGCTGGGAGGCAGGGGTGGGCAGCAGAGTGAGGGCACCCAGTGCGGGGGGTGGAGAGGCCCCTCAGGTGGGACACCAGCCCCAGCTCTGCGGCCACAAAAACAGCAGACACTGAGGCTAACCCCATGCAGGCCAGACCACACGAGAAACACACAGCAGGAAAGAGTCCAAGTGGAGACCTCCAGGGTTTCCAGGTGAGGAGACACAGTATCTCCAGGTTAAGGAAGGAGCCGTATGGACAGGACTGATGGAAAGCTGGTCCACAGAGACCCAGGAGCAGAGGCAGTGGGGTAGAGGGACCGGCGATGGCAGAGAGAATGGCCAGGCTTCCAAATGAGCAGCAGGGTAACGGGCTATGGCGCTTGAGGACAGAGCCTAGAGAGCAAGTGCTCCGGGGACACCCTCGTGAGAGCGGGTCTGCAGCGCTCTGCACAGTGGCCAAACTGAAGCTCGGAGGCCCCTCGGGGACCCGAGACCGTCAACAGACACGCACCGAGCGCCATTAAGAGAGCTGAGGTGCGCTCAGCCACAGGCGTGCTCAACACTTCCTGTTTCACCTGACAGGTTCAGGGGAGAAGAGGCCCACAGACGTGAAGCAGGACAGTCACGAAACCCGACAACGGCCCAGGTGTGCAGTCACCAGCATCCCTCCTCCCCCGGCAGGACGGATGCCGGCGCCCTCCCACTCCCAGGGCAAGCGCAGCGCGCCGGCGGCCCAGCCCCAAAGCAGGGCCCGGAGTTCCCGACAGCACAGCGCGCGCCCGCAGGAGGACGGCGAGGGGAGCCCAGCGGACGAGCACAGGCCTTCCGGCCCAGGAGCAGCAGCGCCCTCCACGGACTCTGCCCTTCCCGACCTGAAGTCCACACCTGGAGGAAGGGCTGCCTGACAGCCCGCCCTGCCCCCACCCTGCCGGTGCCACCTCCTGCTCGCCCCGCGTGCTAGCCCAGAGCCCACGAGGGCGCTGCTGGACGGCGTCAGTGATGCCGCCCGTCAAGGACTAAGACGCTAGACCAGGGAGTACGAGCACACACTGAGGTTGTGCTCTAAAATTTTCTAAACCTAACCCGAAAAAACGAACGTCGATGGCAAAACCTCCTCCTGAAGACTAATCACGCGTAGACAACTGTTCCGACGGCGTGAGTGCGATGACACGAGGCCCACAACGGCACAGGGCCAGCCCTCGTCTCACGAGGGAACAGCAGGCTAGTGGAGGGCCCGAGGGAGCCCCAGCAAGCCCAGCACGTGCAGCCTCAGGGAAGCTCCCCCTGGGGAAGGCAGGCGGCCCCTCAGGCTGTAAGAGACCAAGCCGCTCGGGCAGGATGTGTGGTCGGCATGAGCCTCAACTGAAACACTGTGAGCCTCGCCCGTGAACTCAGGGAGTCGGGCGGGAGCCAGGCCAGTGCCGGCTCAGCTGCGCAGGGGCACAGCCCCGGGAAGGCGGGTGGGCACACAGGGATCCGGGGCGAGTGCGGGTTCTGGACACTGATGACGGCAGCCCAGCACCCTCCGCTGGGTGGGACCCGCAGGCGCGACGCCGGCTCACCCGGGCTGCAGGATCACGTCCTCGTACAAGGCCTTCTGCCGGCTCGACAGGCGACACTTTAGCACGTGCTCGTACTTCTTTGTCAGCTGCTTCTCCACGTCTCTCTTAGTTCTCCTCAAGATGAAGGGCTGCGTCACCTGCGAAGGAGACGAGTGTGCGTCGCCCCCGTGCCGAGCCCCCGTCGCCACACCCGGTGCAGGGCTCGGGCCGCGGCTGCCGCCCACATACCCCACACACATACCCGGTGCAGCCGTATGACCACTTTGTGGTAGTAGTCCTGATTCTCGTCGTTCGGGGCCTTCAGGGGCAGGTGCAGGTAGGGCCTGGAGATGCCGGGGATGAGGAAGTGCACCATGGTCCAGAGCTCCAGGAAGGTGTTGTGCAGGGGCGCGTCGATCAGCAGCAAGCGCTGCTGGCTGGGGGGAGTGAGAGCGACCGCAGACGTTGCACCCCTGGGAGCCGGCCGCAGGTGTGCTTCCTCCACAGAGGTTTACGGACAGGGACAATGGGCTCACAGAGCCCCCGGGAGAGGGACCCGCAGCCCCCGTGCACTGACCAAGGGAAGGGAACCGGGCAGCCAAGCAGCAGCTCGGTGTGCCCATGACCACACACACCCCTCCATCCGCCACCCCCAGGACCCTGAGCGGGCCACACGGGTCAGACCTCCTCAGGGTGAACACGGCCTCCCAGTGCCTCTCGGTCATGCCGCGGACACGCTGCATCTCGTCGATGACCAGGCAGCGCCACCGCACACGCGTGAAGGCTGCATAGCCCCTGAAGAAGTGCTTGTAGGGCGCGATGCACACATTGAAGCTGTTGGGCTCCGTCCACTCCTACGGCACATGGAACAGGCCTCACCTGCGGCGTCTCCCCACACCCCGGCGGGGGCTCAGCCCGCCACCACCCGCCGCGCACAGCATGGCGCAGCTCGTCTCCGGGACCGCTCCTACAGGGGTTTATGGTGCTCGGACTAACCGAGAAGCCACTGTGGGCATTAACCACCGTTTTGGGACAGCACCAGAGAGCGTCATGAGGGCAAGCAGCTTCCGCAGGTGCAACCCGAGTACGCAGGAAGCAGCAGCGTCCGTGCCACAGAGGACTGCTCTGTACGCTTTTGAGACCCACAGAAATAACGAGAAACGGGGGAAGAGAAGACACATCTCAACGTTCTCACTTTTCCACTAAATGCTACTCAACACAAAAGTCTAATGATGAAGCAAGCTTTCAAGTTCGGGAAAAAACTGTGGCCTCCAAAACACTTTCACTCAGAACCAGGCGCTAGATGCGACAGGGCAGAAACCCTGGCCAGTGCATCACCTGTAGCCCTACGGAGTGTGTCCCCGGGGGTCACCTCACAAGTTCACAGCTCAGAACTCAGAGTACACTACAAGTTCCCATTCGGGCTTGTGGCGCTCACTGGCCCGCGGGCGGAAGGGATGGTTCTGGAAGGAAAGCGGCCACAGCCAGGCATAGGAAGGGCCGTGGGCACGGGGCTCTCCTTGCCGGGGGCAGGCTGTGCTTTCCAGGGGCTCCAAACCTAGAACAACCCGAAGGTCTCACAAACCAGGGATTCAGACAAGTACACACATCCGTCTCCACATCCTCAAATCTGTCTTCTATACAAACAGGGATCATTTCTGTCTGGTTTTATCTCATGTTTAAAATCAAATACCTGTCTCTTGGCTTTCAGTTCTCTATGGCTGCCAACATATAGCAGAGTTTTGAGCCCGGGGCACCACCGCTTCAGCTCGAGCTCCCACTTGAGAATGTTACAGCCTCTCACGACCACGAGATGAGGGCCCCAGTTGCCTACAAAGGAGAAAAGAGACAGAACTTTCCCTTTAACCAAGACCATCTGTCAGGTCTGGACGCCGTGCGCTGTGCTGACCAGAGACACGGGGCAGGTACATGTGGGAAGCCCCCGGGGCATGACGCAGACGCGTCCTACCTCCCGCACCACCGCCAGACCTGCGGAGGAGGGGCAGGGGCCTGACCCACAGGGGGCGTGCGACAAAGAGCCGCTGAGTGGGGACTGAAGAAAGTATTTCCTCAAAGACACGCTGACCCCACTGCAAGCACAGGCAAGATCGTGTGTCTCTGAGGAACAGCGCCAGGAAAGCCAAGGAAGTGCGCCCGGCCCCGGCCTGGAGCCCTCCCGTGGCAGCCGCCCACTAAGGCTCGGGCTCGGGTGCAGAGCCCACTCCCCGCGTCCAGCCAGAACACACCACCCAAAACAGACAGTTCCAGCTTCAGTCCTCCGAAAAATAATGTCCTCAGTTCTGTTATGAGAACACACACAAGACAAAGTTCCACTTCCGTGCTATAAACAAGACGTACACCGCACCGAGACGGAAACGGCAGCTTGGAAAGGCTGTGCGCGGGACACACGGCCTCGTGTGCAGAGCACTGTGTCCTGCGCTCCAGAGGACCCACCCAAGAGGGACATGAATAAGGATGTGAACAGACACAAGAGGACAAAAACTCTCCAGAAGGTGCCCCCCCCAGGAGAAGACAGACGCACACCAGCCCCGGGTGCCCTTTCTCCTACCAAGGAGAACCACGACTTTATATAAGCCAGCATTTAGAACACTGCTCTGCGATCGGTTTTCTGCAAGGCCCCTCACACCGGACGCGCTGCTGGGGCCCAGGCTGGGCCTCCTGACGGAGGGGCTCTGCTCTGCTCACAGTCACAGCCTGATGCCCGGACCAGTGCCTGGGGCAGCACGGGCACCAGGCGGGTACCTGGAGTTCGAGGGACTCACACATTCACTTGGTCAACTGATGAACTAGTAAGAGTCCCTATTTTTGGAACTGTAGGCTGCTTCCATTTCTTACTCTTCTAAATATAATAACCAACAATTTTTCTGGCTAAACAGCAAGATAGTGAGGCAAGGTGACAGTCTGAAGTAACTGTGTCTAAAACTTAAGATTATTTATTTGTTTGACACAGAGAGAGAAAGATCACAAGTAGGCAGAGAGGCAGGCAGAGAGAGAGGAAGGGAAGCAGGTTCCCTGCTGAGCAGAGAGCCTGATGTGGGGCTCGATCCCAGGACCCTGGGATCATGACCTAAGCCGAAGGCGGAGGATTAACCCACTGAGCCACTAAGGCGCCCCTAAAACTCATTTTAAAGTGCCACACTGAAAATTTCAGGACACCAGGTCAGAAAACAGAAACAAGTTAATCAAGAAAATAAGCCCTAATATCAATCCATTTGTATTGAAAAACTGAGGGGGCGCCCGGGCGGGGGGCTCAGTCGGTTAAGCATCTGCCTTCAGCTCAGGTCATGATCCCGGGGTCCTGGGATTGAGCCCCACATCGGGCTCTCTGCTCCATGGGAAGCCTGCTTCTCCCTCTGCCTGCCCACTTGTGCCCTCTTTCTCAAATAAAATCTTTTAAAAAATAAAAATTAAAAGAAAATAAAACTGAGATTGACGAAGCTTTTCTCACAGAGGGCCAAGAAAAGGCACTGCTAGCGATGATGAGGAAAAGAGTGCAGCAAGCCTGGGGAGAAGGAAGCAGCAGCCTTCCCGAGGCGGGGTGGGGGTGGGCAACCACCACCCTCTGCACATCCGCCTCTCTCAGGTCTGCTGAACGCCGGCAGTTTCCCCACGCTCCTCAGCAGGATGCCACCACCCTAATTTCAAGAGTCCCCTCCCAGCTTCTGAAACTCCACAAAGAGGACAATGTGTCGGCTCTTCTGGTCAGCTATCCAGGAGTCCACTCGGTCTGCATCTGGAACACTCCCTTTGCAAGAGAAACACTACAGATGACCCATGGACAACATGGGAATGAACCACACAGGTCCACGTAAGCATATGCGGATTTTTTTCAGTATATACAGTACCGTATGTTCTCTTTCTTACGGTATTCCTAATGACATTTCCTTCTCCCTGGCTGACGTTATAAGAACACACTACGTAATACACGGAACATACCAAATACGTGTTAGTCACCTACTGGTGTTATCAGGATGGCTTCCAGTCAACCATTAACTATCAGGGTTAAGTCACGGGGAAGGCAAAAGCTCTATGTGCATTGATCTCTGCGTGGGAGGTCAGTGCTCATGACCACCATACATTGTTCAAGGGTCACCCGTATGCAAGACCCTGTCATGTGTCAGAGACACAGGCAGGTGTCCCTCTATAGCCCTCCAAGGCCCAGAGCAGGGGACAAGACAAGCACCTGCCCCAGAGGCCGAGTGGAGGGCAGTAAGTAGAGGGAGGCGGATCCCTAAACATGCCAATACAGAGGCCAGAGGGCCTGGACCAATGTCATGTGAGTTCCAAGAGTCTAGAAGTGAGAAACCATTGGGAGTGGGCAGCCCCTTACAGGGAGGCAGGCACCCTGTCTCAGCCGCGGTACAGCTGTGGGCCCCGAGCAAGGCCCACACACCAGCCCCTTCGGAAGCCCGGCAGTGGAGAAGCAGTCCCAGGTGGCGGGGCTCCACCCAGAGGCAAGGTGGTGCACGCCACTGCGACAAGGAAGGCGGGCACATGGGGAGAGCTGCCGTGCACACCCGTCTTGGCCCACAGGGGACGCGGGAGTCACACAGCCCTGCTGCAGCCTGGTGGGCCTCACAGTGTGCGAGATTCTGAGTCACAGCGAGTTGCTCGCCCTAAGGTCAACCGCAAGCCAGTTCTTCACTTGTCCACGCCATGCGCATTTCTGAGCGCTGTTCTGCGTCTTGCACCAGAGCACAGAGCACAGCAGCAGGAAGAAGGGCCACTCTCCATCCTCACGCCAGGTGCACTCCCCACAGTCAGCCTTAGCAAGGACACGCTTCTTACCTTCGTTGCAAGCTAGGTGGGCAAAGAAAGCAATGACCTGCACCGTCTTGCCCAGCCCAGCTTCGTCCGCCAGGATGCCGTTGAGGTTCTTCCGGTAGAGTTTGGCGAGCCAGTCCAGGCCAATCTTCTGGTAGTCCCTGAGCGCGCCGTACAACAAAGATGGCGCGTTCAACTTCACCTGTGGCAACACACGGGCCGAATGCGCCTTCTCAAAATAACGCTCAGAAAGTTTTATGCCACGCGAAGCCAAATCAGCCACACGGTGAGCCACTAGAGCCCACAGAAAAGATCTAGAGGTGACAGGAGAAGCAGGACAGTACTCGCTTCTCCTGACAACTTCCACAGCTGGCACAGAGCTGTGGGGACAGACCAAGCCTTTTCCCGGCCTCACAAAGACACAACCCGCCACGTGTCAGCTCGGCGCCTCACCGTGGGGCTGACCCGGGCACTGCCCTTGGGCAGGACAGCTTCGGCCACAGCGGTCACCTCCGCGATGTCCTTTGCGTGAGGGCTCCCAAGAGTCATTCTCTCCGCAGCTTTGAACTGGTCCATGATGAACAGCGAGTCTATGAGAACCACATCCTTCCGGCCCTCTCGGTCGCCCGGGGCGCCTTCCACATCTGTGAACAAGAGGACAGATCTGCAGTGGCTGCGACACTTTTATGTGCCTACTTATTGTTTATAAAAAGAAATACAAGGAAACAAGTTGACAGAGTCCCAATATTTCAAATGCACTTTTTTTTTAATCTGTTTTTAACCCACTTTATATACCTAACACTCCCCAGATCAATGGGTATAAACTCCTATAAAACCATCACACACAGGAGAGCTCTGAAGAGCCCTCAGGCAAAGACGGAGGACCTGTACTGAACCAGGAGCCAGCACCACCCGCAGACGTATGGGCACCGAAGGGCTCAGTGGCTGCCCCTCCACGACCAGGAAAGGGAAAGTCGCAACAGTCTCCAAGGGCCAGCAAGGAGGCCGCCAGCCCACCCTCTGGCCCGGTCAGCCCCAAGCTTCTCTGCTCATAGGAATCTGTGTCTATTGACCAGGACAAGTAGAATGGAAACAAGGGAAAATAGGCTGTTTGTTTAGATCACCTAACGAAAGTAAAATAAATTCCTCAAAACGAGCACATTAGACAAACACAGCCCACCCTGAACACACATGATACAAACCCAAGTCCGTGAAAACAAGGACTTTGATGAACGTAGACAAAAACATTTCCATGTTGTTCACAAGTACTCTAATAATTGTGCCACGTTAATAAATGAAAATAAAAAGCATAGAATTTAACAAAACCCTCTCAGTGCAAAATTACACATTAAACATACTTGCATCTTTTTATTTTATTTTTATTTATTTTTTGTTTTTGTGTTTTTAAGCAGGCTCCACGCCGAACATGGAGCCCCAGTCGGGGCTCAATCTCACAACCCAAGATCAAAACCTGAGCTGAGATCGAGTCAGATCTCACCCAACTGAGCCACCCAGGTGCCCCCACATAACTGCTCGCATCTTTCTCTCCCATTGATCTAGAAGGAAAGGAAGGGGACTTAAACCCTGTCGTAAGCACCCTCGTCCGTGTGATCTGGCTTTTGCCGTGGGTGAGATCTTTAAAGATGTCAACACAGACCTTCTTCTTCGCTCGCCTCCTCACTGTCGGGCTTCGGTTGCGGCCACTGGAAACTGGGCAGAAAAGCTCCTTCGTACAACTTCATCAAGTCAATTAAGGGCAATTCAGCTGGAAAGGATCACGGGGAGAAAGGGGGATAGTTTATAGCACGAGTGGCAGCCGGGTGGGAAGAAAACACAGCTGTAGCCCTCCTGCAATTAGTTTTTTCCAAAGAGTAACTATTGCCCATTACTGATACTGGCTTTGAGGCACATTCTTTACAAACATGAGAATCTTCGACATGACATGAAGAAATTTAATTTTCACTCATAAAGGAATTCTTAAAATTTCTAAAATAACCTCAAAAATGAAGACTAAAAGCTATAACCTAATAAACGTAATAATAAAAACACTGTTGATGGAAAATAACTGGTAATATGAAAAAAAAGAAACTTCAAATAAAAGTCAAAACAAAAATTAAGCCGTACAACAAAAATGCCGTAAAAAGCACATAAAAAAGTTGTGATCCCTCCCGCACCGAGCCTGCCCTAGCAGACGGCCGGCGGGGCCGTTCCCTGTCCGCCTACGGAGCGCGGCAGAGACGCCGGCACGGAGTCCGACCTGGCCGAGACGCACCCGGTCCAGGGGAAGCCACAGCAGCAAGAACACAAGCTGGGCATGGAGGAGGCATGAGGAGCGCCGGGGTGGCAGAGGGAGCAGCCGCCAGGCCACCCCACAGCACCCCTGGGGGAGGAGGTGCTCCCTTCCAGCCCGCGCCCAAGCGCACCCCGCCCCGGAAGGAGCGCGGCAAGCGGGCGCTGATGCGACAGGCAGAGTGGACGCTGCCCAGGGGGCGTGTGTGAGCCCCACGGGGCGGCCGCTCTCCCGCGCTCAGTGAACACACGCCCACTGCGACTCTGAACCAGACCAGGCACCAAGCACGACCCTCACAAAAAACCTGCCATCGTAAATGTCCTGCGGGCGCCCCGAGGAGTGGACGGGCAGGCACACCGTGATCGGGGACTGGAAAAGCTCGGCCTCGTTAAGACGCAAGAGTCAACTATCACCCGCCGACTCCAGGCCACGAGTCCCTGTGGATGTCTGTTTGAAGCCGATGAGCGGGTCCTGAGGCGGAGGAGGCCCGGAGGAGGCCCGAGGCGGCCGAGGCCGTCCCGAGAGGACGGATGTGGAAGGACCCCCAGCCCACTCTCAGAACCCGCGCGGAGCCCAAGGACCGCACGCCGGCCAGCAGCATGGCAGCAGGACAGTGGGCGGGGAAGAGCCTGCCATCTGAGCTGGCCAGGACCAGCAGGAGCAGGCACCAGCCTTTCAAATGGGGCCATGGCGACTGGGATCCATATTGGGAAAGGAAAAAAGGAAGGAAGGAAGGAACCAAAGAACAGTACTCTTACTCCACGCAACAGGCAAAGGCTATTCTAAATGGATCAGAGACACGGATGTGAGAGTAAAATAAAAAAATGTGGGCAAACAGGAAAACCGCCTCATGATCTCGAGGTGAAAAGAGGCTTCCTGCACCCCTGGGGGTCTCAGTCCGTTGAGCGTCTGCCTTTAGCCCGGGTCGTGATCCCAGGGGCTAGGATCCGGTCCTCTATCTGGGTCCCAGCTCAGCAGGAGCCTGCTTCTCCCTCTGCCTCTCCCCTGCTTGTGCGCCCTCTCTCTGACAAATGGATAAAATCTCTTAAAAAAGAGAGATTTTTTTTTTAAACAAGACTGACAAATCCAACTACACTAAAGTCAAGAACACCCACGCATCAGAAGGCCCCATAAGGACAACGGAAACACGGCAGGAGCCAGGAGGGGCCGCTGTGATGCACGTGACCAACGAAACCGCCACATCACAATGCACAGCTGCCGCGTGCTGACACGGGAAAGCAAGCCCAAGCCCAGAGTGGAAAAGAGGAACCCGTGAAAAGGTGCCACACCTCGTCTGTTCTCCAAGAAGTGCCACCCACAAGCACCGGGAGACGTCATGTGCCCCTCACCGGGGGAGCAGCAGCACCCCGACATGCGGGGCTTGGAGCAAGCCCTGCAGCCCCTGCCGGGCCAGTCTCATCCAGCGGCCTGTGTGCTCGCCGGCCCGTCCACTCTGGCACGCACGCATGTGCCAACCCCAGCCACAGGAGCACTCCCGCGGCGTGCTGAGGGCGGACCAGGGGACAACCGGAATGTCCAGCAGCAACCCACTAGGGAGTCAGTGACACGGTCATGCCCGGAACGCGGCTCAGCAGTGACGGCTAGGGAAGCCACAGCAACACGCCACGGCCAGACGAAGCTCAGGGACGGGAGAGCCAAGGGAAAGCGCGCTAAGGCCAGGGCACGACACCGTTGAGACACCGCTCCTCCGAGCGAGCCCAGCAGCACCCCGGGCCGTGTCAGGTGACAGGGCAACCGGAGCGGAGGCGACGAGCCACTAGGGCAGGTCACCGGCCAGCGTGCAGCGCTCAGGCACTCTGCCCCACGCTGTGCGGTGCGGCCCTAACGCCAGCGCTCAAGGGCTGTGTTGGGTTTTAGATCTCACACGTTTTCACGCGTTCTTCTGTGCATGTTCAACATTTCCTAAGAGCATCTGTGGCAAGACCCGCACAGCCTACCTTCTTTGGCTAAATTGGACAGCTCTGCCTGGTGGTCCACAGCCCCCTCGTTTGCTTCTTCCTCTTCTATGGTCTCCTCCTCATCTTCCACTGAAACAGTCACCACGAGATGTCAGCGACACAGATCTCACTGCGTCTTCTCAACTGCTCATAACACTACCAGCCTCTAACACGGTCTCGCCAGCTATGAAAGAGCTGAACTTGGCCTTTCTGTTTCACAGGTTAAGTCTAGAAGTGCGGCTGTACTGAGTGGGCAGGGCGTGAAACATGGCCTGGGTCTTCACTACTCGACAGACCATCTCCAGCAGAACACGGAGTGATGTCAAACCTCTCATCCACCTGCTAACCCCACAGCAGAAAAACCCAGGAGCAGGCTGTCTGGGGTCATGCTGACTTTGTCATCACCCACACCAGGGTCCCAGCCACTGCTTGGCACGCCGTCCTGTGCAACCAGCGCCTCAGACCAGGTTGGTCCCACACCCCGCACCACACATCCAACAGAGACATGACTCTGGGTGAGAAGAACCCACCGGCAGCCCACAGCAGGACTGGCCCAGCTCCGGCCTGCCCCCGATCCGAGCACAGCTCTCAGCCCCTGGGCCCCGCCAGCGGACTACACCTTCTCTCCCGCCAGCCTCCGCCCTTCCCAGCACTCCTGCGCTCTCCCTCCTCCACAGTCTGGCCCGTTTCTGCAGACACCCACCTACTCCCCCAAGGTGCCTGGCCCCCAACGACACAAGTCACTGGGCCCCCAGGCACCCTGACAGCACTGAGCAAGCTCTGGGCCTGCAGTCTGAGAGAGCCCGCCATGCGGACAGCGAGAGAGTGCCAGGGGACAGACCTTCATCATCAGTCAGAGATGTGCTAGCTTTCCTCTTCCTTCCAGACAACCCCGACTCCTGAAACAGAGAATAAAACCTGCAAACACAGAATGGGAAATGCAAGCAGAAACTCCCAGGAAGTTTGCTCCCAGGAAGACCGTGGCGAGCCTGGGACACGCACGCCAGCCTGGACCGCCATGAGGCACCGGTGTTAGGCGGCAGGCAGGTGAAACTACATCCAGGCACTGTGTCCTCCCTTGTCCCCAGATCAACACCCTGTGACAGCCGAACACTAAAAACCAGGCTTCTTCCCCAGAGAGACTACTACGGACGATATATACAAGTTTCTCCAGACAAAAAAGGGACCTGCTTTATCAGGCGCCGTGTCTTCTCTGTGGTCTCCCTCTCTCACCTAGTACAGGAGCGAGCCTCAACTTACCAGGAAAGCTTCCGGCAGTGCATCCAGCCCCTGAGGCCTCGACTCTTTTCCTAAAGACAAGGAAGCTGATTACTTTCACCGAAGCTGCATGTGTAGGCCGTGCCCTACTGGTACCTCCTCACGGGAGGACAGCAAGTGTCAGCTCCGCCTCCTTCCTTTTGGGAACCGGGCCACGACACAGCACCAGCCAGCAGCCCTGGACCTACCAAGTTCTCTGGCAGCTCCCCACACATCTCTGGTCTGGGAGGTGAACCTGGGCGCTAAATGGCAACATGTGTCTTCTAGAATCTCTACAGTCTCACGGCTCTATGACTCCGAGCAGAGCCCGCCGCTCTGGCTCCATCTCCTCACCAGCAGAATGAGAAACACGCCCCCCTGCCCACGCCAGCCAGTAACAGCTGCATCCGCTGGTGCCCGGCCCACATCACGGTGTCCAGGGAAGGGGCGGTCCCGTCAGAGCACTGCAGAGGCTATGCCCCGACCACAGAGGTGCCCACGAGGTGCAAACCCCTGGGGGAGTTCATCTCAGTGTCCGGCACCAGCCACAGGGCACAGCCCAGAACCTCAACCCCGAGAGTGCCCAAAGCTGATTGAGGGGCCCGGGATGCTGACTTGTGCCAGCAAACCTCAGAGCGGGGTTCGCAGCTAGAGCAGCTGCACGAGGGACCGCGTAACGTCAGGCAGAGCACGGGCTCAGAGAGGCGAGCAACTGCCCCCGGCGCCACCACAGCAACCAGCTGCGGGACAGCAGGGGACTAAAGTGCCAGCAGCAACGTGAGGGCTTCTGAGACGTGTCCTACCTCTCCTGGGCACCTTCTGTAAAGTTAAGGCTTTTTTCCTTTTCTCTTCCAATTCTACTTGTAGTTTTATCTCCACGACCTGAGTACAAAGAGTGGAATAAATAGGCCGTTAGGGACGGAGGTCACGGGAGCTCTGCGCAGGACGTCAGAACTCACACGCGGGGTCGGAAAGCACAGCCGTCCCACCACCCCGTCAGGATGAAGCCACGTGGCACTCCGCCAGCTGTTCCACGGGTTGCCTCCCGTGAGTGGCGCTCACACAGACGGAAACACTGGACGGCCCCTCACCGACGGCACGAAGCCAAGGCCGCGGTGCGCAGCCAGGAGCTCAGGAAGCCGCGCAGGTGCACGCACCTGTCCCAGGGACGCAGCAGGCAGGACTGCCCGGGTTTCCGCGTCCCTCAGTCAGGCACATTTAGAAAGCACAGTCTATGTTTTCAGGAACCCATTTATTTTTTTTTTTTAATTAATTATTTATTTATTTATTTGACAGAGAGATCACAAGGAGGCAGAGATGCAGGCAGAGAGAGGGGGGAAGCAGGTTCCCTGATGAGAGCCTGATGGGGAACTAGATCCCAAGACCCTGAGATCATGACCTGAGCCGAAGGCAGAGGCTTTAACCCACTGAGCCACCCAGGCACCCCTCAGGACCCCATTTAAATTCCAGGATTTACCTGTTCAATATTTGACCAAAAACACTCTATTTCTCGGGCGGTGGAGGCCGCAATGCGTCTCAATCGGTTCTGCTCCTCCTTCCTTCCCCTCTCCTCACGCAGCTTCTTCTCCTCGTGGTGACGCACCACCGTCCTGATGAGCTGGAGAAGCAAGGGTCGCGGACCTGACACAGTGCGGCCACAGGCAGGCACACAGGGTCCCCGGCCGCCGACATAGACGCGCAGGGGACGTGCCTTCACCTGCTCTGAAGGTGCAGGGGACACGCCCACACCAGCACAAAATGCCTCCAACACCCTGCCTGGCTTTCTACAAAGTGCTAGTTTACTAAATACACTGACTTTTCCCCAGAAAGTACACCATGCTGCATCACAATCTTCTTTCCCCGCGTGACCTACGAGTAACATCTTTCCATCCAACACGAACACCTTCAACAGGCATCACTTGCACCACAAGTGGGGGGAGTTCATCATTTTCACGGCTTTTCCTTTAAATCCCACCCCACCTTCCAGGATCTGGGCTCTCATCTCCTACTAGCAGTCCTCCAAAAAGTGCTGAGAAGGAACCTGGCAACAGACACCTTGTGAGCCTGGGCATGCCTGGCTGCAGGCCAACACGTTGCAGGGAGAAGCTTGCTGGAGGCCTGCTGGACACCGCGGACGGACCCCCCCCCCCCCACTCAAGACTCCTCGGGGCCGCGTCCTGGTCCAATCACAGCCCTGGCACAAAGCCTCCTGCTCAGGGTCCGCAGTCTCTCACAGGAGAGGGGTAGCACTAGCTGCTGGTGCCCTACCCACCTGGTGCCCACATGCTCAGGCCCATCGTCCTTTATGAAAAAACCGTGCCTAAGGAGCAATCAGGTTTTTCTGAATTCCATGAATCTGATTTAAGACCCCGGCCTATGTAAGGAAAGCAGAGTTCGGGGAGGGGGGTGGACAGCAGGGCACACGGGACCACTCCCCAGACCTGAGAGCACGGCAAACAAAAAGAGAGCAGGTGCGCCCCGAGGAACAGACGGCAGTGCAGTGACCTGAGAGAAGCAAGGCCCAGAGCCATTTACACGTAGGCAAAGATAACTGCTTCGCACTCTGAGACCCAAGGCTTCTGGAACACTGTCCCCTTCTGCATTGCTAGTATGTATGCCAGTGCCATCTGCTAAAGGCTCCCCAGGACTGGGTGTCTGCTTTAGGACCAGTGTGAAGGAAACCAATCCTCAGCCAGAACTGGAGGGGCGCTGGACAGAAGACCAGGCAGTGCAGGGCAGTGGGCAGCCTGAAGGCCCAGGACAGCCCCCTGGCTGCCCAGAAGCCAACCAAGCCTCACTGCCCCCTGCCAACCCTGGGCCTCCTCGGCTCCCGCATCACAACAGCCCTGGCACCAGCCTGCGTTCTGGGGGCTGCAGGCCTTCCGGCCGCCAGGAGGGGCTGACAAGCAGCAGCTGAACACACGCTGAAGCCACAGCAGGGGCAGACACGTCCGTCCCCCGCGGTCCAGCCCAGGGCTCTGAAGACAGCCCCTCGCACGGAAACCGCACAGCACGGTTACTTCCTCAACAGTGCCAGGACACGCTCCGTGTTTAGGAGGCAAACCCCTCAGAGGCGGTCTGCAGACCCCACATACAGCAGTGAACACGCACTTGTCCGGGAACCGCCGCCCCTGTGCCTCACCTACCTTCCTGGCCGCGGCCATCTTCCACCTCCTCTCCTGGGCAAAGTCCGTGGCCATCCACTGCATCTCCTCCAGCAGATAGTCCCAGTGCGACTTGGGGCGTGGGGCCTCCTGCAGTTTGGGCAACCGCCTGAGGGACCACAGACCTTCTTTCCTCAAATCTGCTATCCGCTGATGGATCTGGTTTTCCTGTGAGGAGTACAGGGGTGAGGTGCGTCCCACACGTAATTATTAAGTGTGCCCCACTAAGTCACATCCCGAATTCACAAAGCCTCAGTAACAAAGACAGGACTGGACACAAAGATCCAAAGTGGCCACAGAGAGGTCAGCAGACATGCCACCCACCCGGAAGCTGGGGAAGCACAGTCACACCCCGTCTCTGAAACACAGACCAAATGCACAGGCCAACGTTCACACCAGAGCACTGACAAGGGAAACGACACATGCCTGGCCCTTGCTCCAAAACCACTGTGAAGGGGAGGGCTGGATCACCCGAGGCCGGCCACACATCAGCACCTAGTGAGCACTGGACAACAGCGGACGCTGGGGCTGGGACATCCTACCAACCTCGGTATGTTTAGCTCCCCTCAGGAAGTTTGAACTGCTCAGTCACCCCATAAACAGCAAGCACTGAGGAGGGGCCAGGCCACGGCCACGCGGGCCTCAGCAGTCCTCCTGGCCCCGCCCCGCAGCCCGCACGGAGCGCCGCCTGGGAGGTCAGCAAAGAAAGGACGTCCCCGCCCCAAGCCCACGTCCAGCAGGACAGGTCCAGCTTCCCAGTGGTAACCCTGGTTTCTAACCGATCAGAAACCACGTCTGACCATCCGCACTACAGGTACGCATCCTGTGCCGACACCGAGATCGGACACGCCTCCCAACGAGAACGCGCGGACCACCCTCCCGGCCTCGCGCGCACTCACCAGCGCTATCTGTTCTGCCAGCTTGTCCTGAGAGCTGTCTTGGGGCGGGACGGCGTTCTGAGCTGGGCTCTGGGGTTTGGGCGGTGCGGACGCAGCTGTCCCCAGGGACCGGGAGGTGCCCGGAGACAGTGACTTGCTGGCTGCCGAGGAGGGTCTATTCCCTGCAGAGACCCGTACCGGCGACGGGCCCGAGCCGCTGGCAGGAGCCACGGACGAGGCAGAAGAGGCCGCCGGCGGGGGTCGCTGACAGGGCTGGGCAGGGTCCGTGGGCGGTCTTGTCGACGCCGCCGCCTGGCAGGCAGAAAACAGGCCAACAGAGAACAGGAGACCTCACCCTCCCACCGGCGCGGCCACATGTCAGAGACCGCGCCGCCCCCAGAGGTGCTCACAGAGGAGCCCCTCTGCAGCAGAGCACAAAGGTCGTGGGCACACGGACACACAGACACACCCGCCCGACCACGCCCACAGCGGGGACACATCCCTGCACTCCACAATGCTGCACCAAGAACGCATCTCAAACTCAGCTTTCATGGGCCATCTTTTCCCAGGGGAGCCCCTTCCTCTGTTTTTTACTTTTTGTAGCTGTTTCTCCTGTTCAAATTATTTTTCAGAATTTATAATTGTATAAGCTTCTTTTTTTTTTTTTTTTTTTTAGATTTTATTCATTCATTTGAGAGAGAAAGAGACACAAGCGAGAGAGGGAACACAAGAGTGGGAAAGAGAGAAGCAGGCTTCCCGCCAAGCAGGGAGCCCAATGCAGCGCTCGATCCCAGGACCCCAGGATCATGACCTGAGCCAAAGACAGACGCTTAAGATGGAGCCACCCAGGCGCCCCTGTACAAGCTTCTTCTTAACTGAAAAGGACCAAATGTTCATCTTGTACCTTTTCTTTGAAAAGTGAATACCAACTCCACATGCCCCTCTCCCAGCAGGCAATCTGTCAGGTAAAGAGTCCATCTCTGTCCATCAGAGCAGGTCAAGCCAGAGGAACCCCCCACCCGGGCTGAGACAAAAGCTGAGCTCCCACAGAATTCCGTGGGGAAGCAGAAAGCAGAGAAGGCAAGGCGGCCCCCACAATGTAAGAGGCACGTCTAGAGCCCGGAGCCTGGGGAAGACACCGACGGAAACTCTCTGCACCCAGGCAGTGTGCGACTCCTGTCCCCATCTCACGCGGCGTCCGACTGCGGCTGGCCGTGCTCTTGGAGAGAGAGCTCTAGCGGCACCGGCCACAGCCCTCATCTCCGTGCTCGGGGGCTGTTCACCATCAACGGCGGGGCTCGGAGACTACAGCGGAGCCCGTGTGGCCCGTGGGTCCTGACGTGTTTTCACGTCCCCTCTTTGTGGCCCCTTACAGAAGTCTATCAGCCCGACCCAATCTAGAAGGGACATGTTTCCATGGGTTTTCTAAGGAGCTGATCCTCTCAACAACAGGGGCAGGTAAAGGAATCCAAGCAAAACCCCAGTGTGGCCTGAAGTTAGCCCTGTACCTCAATAAAACAAAGTACTAGAACCAGAGAGACTTGTTTCCACAAAAATGTAACAAAAGAGGTGCTGGGTCCCCAAGATACGCAGAACGCGGCCACGCGGACCTGCACAAAAGGATCCAGAATCCACTGGGGCACAGATCACAGCTACTCCAGTCACCAACCAGGTGATCATGCCAAGTTATTTCAGTCTCTCGAGTCTTTTTATGGTAAAATACGGATAACAAAGATTGTACACCCCAGAGCTGCTGGGCAGAAAAAATGATGCCAGTAAAGTCTCCCCACAGCGCCAATGCCGAACAGGTGGTGAGCACAAAGCAAATACGATTGCCGTCACCCCGTCACCACAGAGGGTCAAACCCCGCACGCAGCTCAAAAAAAGTGTCTGGGCCAATGGCGATCAGTAGGGGACGAGGCGCATCGTGCTACAAACCCAGGAAAGGAAGGCTTCGTGCCTTCGCAGAGCACAGAACACCCAGAAGAGGGAGGTGCCCGTGGGGGGCCCAGCGCCGGCTGGGCGTGGACAAGCCTCCCCAGGAGCTCACTGTAGCCACGCAGCCTACGGCGGCCCCGCGCTCACACCACCCCTGTCGCACACTGGTGGGAGGGCGCCTGCCATCCACCTGCGTCACTGGACACATCAGCCGGGATGACAGCCACGACACCCTCTGCGTGGCCACCAAACCACCAGCAGCAACTAGCCTGTACTGCTCGCTGCTGTTCTCACGGGGTAACTGTGGCCACAGAGGCAGATAAAGGGACGCTGGGCGACGTACTGGCTCCAAGCAGGACAGCAAGCCACCAAGAGGGCAGGACGGCACACACACCCAGCGCACACCTCGGCTCGCCTTCCGTTTCTGAGCAACAGGACAGGCGCCCACCAAGTACCTGGGGCTGGGATGAGAGCTGAGCGGCCTGCATCTGAGCCTTCCCAGGCATCGGGGCATGCAGGGACTGCGGCACGGGCTGCGGCGGCGGCGCCGGCAGCTGGCTGGGCGAGGGCACGGGGATAGAGGCATTCGGCTGTGGTGTCTTCGCAGGGACCTGGAGCTGCACGTGAGGCTCCACCGCCGGAGGCTGCTGAGGAAAGTGCAGTGCCGGCGGGAGGGGCGCGGTGGGGAGGCCAGCGGGGGGCAGCCTGCCGGGGAGCTGCGGCGGTGGGGTGTGCAGGCTGGCGGCATTCTGCACCGGGGGCCCCGTGGATGGGTCGTACTGCTGCTGGCTTTGCTTCTGTCCGGTGAGCTGGGCGGCTTGAGGGGCCGGAGGCATTCCTCCTGCAAGACAGGAACAGCCCCAGCAGCGCTGAGTCTGCAGCCCCCAGGCTCTCCGCACGCCGCAGATCTCCCACCCTGGTGCTCATCACAGACCCGTTAGAGCCACCACACACTCCAACGGGAAATGCCACGGGTACAAACGTCTGTTACGTTACCTCTAGTGTCGTAAACGAGCACACAAAGAAGGAAGGAAAGTTGCTTGAGCCCTGCAAGCCAGCCTCAAGCCGAGCAGGCACGGGAACCAGTGCCCCGACCACAGAAGCAACCAAGGAGTGTGCTGGCGTGCGAGGGGCAGGATCCCGAGGAGGAAGAGAGGCATGGCTCCCTCAGGCAGAGGGCCCACCTGCACTGGCCCTTGCCCTCACCCGCACCAGAGCTCAGAGCCGTGTCCCAGCCCCAGGAGCCACATCCGCTGTGCGGCCGTGACCGCATGAGTCCCGCCGGACACTGGGCCTCGAGGCCTCTTCGCTGCACGCGCTCTGAGCGGTAAGAGCGAGTGCGGGCACCGGGCCTTACCTTGAGCCGTGGGCATGAGCTGCTGAAGAGGAACCCCTGCGTTCGCCCCCGGGTGCTGGAAAACTGGCCCCTGGTGGCCCACCTCAAGCCGAGGCCGCTTAGACGGCTCTAGAATAAGTTTCAGAAAAGGTGCGATTAGATGTAAAAACAGCACAACAGAAGTAGAAAAAACATGTGTCAGTGTTTTTTTTAATAATCTTTGAACAGGGAGGCCCTTTGGCCCTTCCATACATGAACCAAAATCCGGAAGCCAGAAAACCTAAATGAATACAAGTTCTTTCCGTTAGAACTTCGCAAGTGTAAGAAGCAGCCTCATACAAAAGCAAGGGCGACGGCACCCCAGGAGACCACGGTGTGTGCGGCACGCGCGTGCGCGAGAAGCTGGCGGGGCGGCCATGCGGAAAGCTCTCCCACGTTCACGGGACAGGCGCCAGCGACCAGACACACGGACAGGCGAAGAACAAAAAGGGCTCAGCAGAGGCAGAGTCGCGAAAGGTTAACGACATGGCAAGGGCCAAGCAGTGGCATCAAAACTGAAGAGCTCCACAGCACACCAGACGAGCCGTGCTCCCCCCGCAGAGCAACAAAGACCAGAGGAGTGATCGTGCTTCACCCACTGGCCACAACGTGAGAGCACCAGAGACTGGAGACGCGACTGCAGAAGGGCCGGCCCTTCTGCAGGACCACACGCGTCCCCGTGTGGTCTGACCGAGCACTTCCACTCCTAGGAGCTTCTCCCTTAGATACAGTGACAAACGTGTCAAAAAAATAAAATAAAATCTGGGTTCACCGTTCAGAGAAAGGAGGCTATCAAGAGGAACACTACCAAGGACGTGAAGAGGGCCGGAGCCCCACGCGCTGGAGGAAGGAGTGGCCGTCGGAAAGAGTGTGGTCCAGGGTGGGCGAGGCGGCCTGGGAAGTAACTGCTGGCGACCAAACGGGGCACAGCGAGCGCACCCCCACACGCCCTCGGAAAGACCACGGGCGACAACGTGAGCGTGCGGGCAGCAGGTCCGGCATGCACACAGACGTCAGCAGCAGTACCTCTGCGGCTGGGGCACAGGGAGGGAACACGAAAGCAGAGGGACACTCGACTCACAACTTCGACTACCCCAATCTTTCACAAAAAAACATGTGTTTTTATAATTCGAAAAAAAAATTAGTTCACAAAAAAGCGATTGACAACTTGAAAAAGAAGGCAGTTTTACCCTCAATCCTATCATGAGGACTAAGAGCCCGCCAGCGCACAAAAACGCGAAATGGAACCTACCGAACTCGGGCAAACTTCGAAGTTCAGTACACACCCATGCAGCCACACAGATGCTCTCTTCAGCCGATCAGCACAAACAAATTACTCTCAAAGTAGAAAGAAAGTCACCAAAGCTAAGCACATCAGCATTCATGCGGCCACTACACTGTACGCCCCCTCAGGCCACTCGGGCCGGTGCTCCGGGACATACCTGCCGGGGTCCCCGCCTGCTGCCTCTTAAAGGGGTCCGTCTCTGCCACACTTGCAGCCCCCGCCACAAGGGCCCCCGCCAGCGCTTGCTGCTGAAAGAGAAAACGGGCACGTGAGAGGCTGATCATGTCAGTGCCTTACAAGACCGGGTATGAACTAAACTATCGTGATTACACCACACACTGGCCTCCCTACTCTCTAACTAGAGAAATGTTAGCTGCGCAGCGCGTGTAACGTATGTTCTTATATAACACGGAATTTAAAGTTCTAACTTACCTCTGGAAGGGAAAAAAAGGATGTGTGGAAGATCTTACTCTGGTTTTTAAATGGAGTTTCCTATCAGTGCAGACCTACATTCCCTCAGAAATGAACAGAAACAGCAAAGGACAAGCCAGTGTCAGCAAACACCAGTCCTCAATCCGACACCTGCGCCTCCCTCGGCCACGCTGCCTGTCATCACTTAACCCCCAAAACACAAAAGCTGAAAATTTCTTCCTCCTGTAAAATGACACTAAAACCCTGCCTGACAGACAACACTGTGATCAACCTGGGTCTCCACGATGGCACTGCAGCCAGCGGGCTCCCTACGCAGCTGGGGATGCCGGGTAACGCGCGTACAGGTGATGTCCACTGCTGACACGGGGAGCTTCTGGCACAGACAGGAAGTGGCCGAGTCGGGGCGCCCCACGCCTTCACATCTGTGTACCGTCCCCGCAGGACTGCTGCTTGCTAAGGACGACGTGTACCGAGCCCTAGTCGTGAACACTGTATTCACAGTCCCGCTGGGTCCGCCCTGCTGAACCCAGCACGCCAGATGCCGAAGTCACGCACGCCTACACAAGGCAGTGCCCCGGGGGGGGCACCACGCTGTCAGCGCCAGCCACGCTACAAGTCAGGGTCTCCCCTGGGGACAGGTGCAGTGACCAACTGAGGGCAAAGGGAGCGCTCCTATCTACGTTTAGTGAAGATGGGGAGGAAGGAAGAGAGGAAGGGGAAAGGAGGGAGGAAAGAAAAGAAGGATTTGAAAAACACATGGTATGTGATAGCAGTTATCTCTAGGGACAGGATTAGAAGTAATTCATAATTTGTGTGTGTGCACTTCTCTAGATCTTCCAAACATCCTGCAATGAACATATACTTTTATATCAAAAGAAGCCTTTTTTTAAATAACAGAAACTGACAAAAGGTTCTACGTCCAGAAACGGCCAAGCGATTCCTATCAGACTGCACAGAATCCAGACGGACACGAACTCTGGAGGATGGGACTGGACGCCTGCGAGGACGGACAGGACGAGGAGAGGTTTAGAGCTTCCTAGCACTTGGCCTGAGGGCAGGCCCCAGCCCTCGCTGTGAGGGCCAGCCCAGAACCAGACACACAGCCTCACTGGCTGGGCGACCGCGAGGACGCAGAGCACAACACCGCAGCAGAGGAAGGCGGAGTCGGCCCGGGAGATGACTGCACACGGGGAGGCCCCGAGTTCCCACCCTCGTGTCCGGCTGCCTCCTACAGCAGGCACACATGGACTCCAAGCACAGGCCAAGGAAAGCACGCCGAGGTCTCAGGTGCCCTCACTCGGGAGAGTTCCAACTCCAACTCGCTCGCTCCTGAAGCCGCAACGGGCAATACTGCTCGAAGACCGTCACTGAACCCGGTGTCTGCCACTTCTCGTTCACGACGTCCGAAGTGTCTCCCAGACACAGAGACGCAGGAAAACCCGAGCCACGCTCAGAGCACAGCGCATGGGCACAAACCCCACGCCACGCGAACACTGGGCTCAGCAGCAGAGACCGCAGTGACTTCAAGAAGCCCAAGGACGTAAAGAAAACATACTGCAACGAAGAACACAGGAAAACCGTGACCACAGAGAAGGACTATTAAGAAAGAAAACCAAACGGAGGTGCCCGAACTGAACAACAAGCTCTCTGGAAGACAAGATTCACTGGAGGGAGAAGCAGGGAGCGGAGGCCCGCGAGCTGCAGGAGCGGCGCTGGGAGAAGCAGAGCCGCAGGCCCGGCACGCCCAGGTGCAGCCCGGCTGGGCACTGGGAGGACGACAGCCAGGCCGAGCCCAGGGGACGCACGCCCACGCGGCTCAGTCACCCCCTCAGCGCTGCACAGCCCCCAAAGGGGATGCAAAGTCTTCTCCAAAATGGTGCTGAGGAACGAGGCATCCACAGGAAAATGCTAAACACTGGATGTTACTGAAATAAACAACCTGCGCCCATCACAGACACGGGCAGGTAGGGCCAGCCTCCCTTCCCCCGGCTTCCTGGCTGCCCCTACTCTTGCCATCAGAATGACTCTGCTTTCTCTTACACTGTCTGGCTGACTATTCTACTGGGAAAGATACTGCAGTGTTTAAAATAAAACCTGAGGGCCCCTGGGTGGCTCAGTCATCAACTGTCTGCCTTCAGCTCAGGTCATGATCCCAGAGTCCTGGGATCGAGCCCTGCATCTGGCTCCCTACTCCGTGGGGAGCCTGCTTCTCCCTCTGCCTCTCCCCCTGCTCGTGCTCTCTCAATTGCAAAAATAAATAAATAAATAATTCTTTAAAAAATAAACTTGATTTCAATTAGCAGTCATTTATTAGAGTTCTTAAAAAAGAGAGAGAAAACAGAGATTCTCTGATGGGAACTGAACTCTGAGTGCCCATTTTAAGAGAGCAGCAAAACAGACCTTATCCATAAAAGACAGTGGAACGTCAAGGGAGCGGAGAAGCTGCACCGGGAGAAAGAACAGGTGAGGGCACTGGGGGTGCCGCTCACGAGAGAGACCGCCTGCCCCGGAAGGAGGAACCAACCGAGTTACTCGGGATGAAGAAACTGAGAGCAGTCACGGCAGCTGGCAGTCAGCCGGGAGTAAATCTCAGCCCGATTTAAATAAACCCAACCACCAAGCAACTATGAACGAACTGGGCCTGTGGTCCGCAAGTCTGGGCCTGCAGTCAGAGCGGGGACAGGACTCGCAGGTGGGGAGAGCTCTGGTGCACAGGTCTCACCACATCTCAGCTCGAGGTTCTCCGGCGGTCTCCCTAGGCTCACCTTGGGCAGGGAAACTGAGGACAGCACAAACAGAAAAAGCACTTGCCCTGACAGCACGCCTATTACAACAAACCAAGCTGCAGACCTCCACCCAGTCTACACCCACAAGCTTGTAACTATACACGTAAAACAAGGACACACATGTAAGAGCAAGACAGCAGCAGCAGGGGTGTCTGGGTAGCTCGGCAAAGCCTCTGCCTTTGGCTCAGGCCATGATCTCAGGGTGCTGGGGTCATAACCCACGTCCAGCTCTCTGCTCTGCTACTTCCCTCTCAAATAAATAAAATCTTTAAAAAAAAAAAAAAAGATAGCAATAGTGGGATAAGGTCACAGAGCTACCGTTATCCGTTTCCTCTAACATCATAACTACCAAGAAATCATCTCCAATGAGGACGGCTGTTTCAAATCTAAATAACAAAGGGACACCAGGATGGCTCGGTCATTAAGCGTCTGCCTTCAGCTCAGGTCATGACCCTGGAGTCCTGGGATGGAGCCCCCACATCGGGCTCCCTGCTCTGCAGGGAGCCTGCTTCTCTCTCTCTTTCTACCGCCCCCACTCCGCTTGTGCGCTCTCTCCTGGAATCAAGCCCAAGTCAGGCTCCACGCTCAGCGGGGAGTCTGCTGAAGATTCTCTCCCCAGCCCTCCCACTAGTACTCTCGCTCTCAAATCACTGAACACAATAAAAATACAAACAGAGCAACACCTGTGCTGCTCAGGCTCGTGCCTCACAGAGCCCGGGCCCTGCGCGGGCACCGCTGCCCAAGCTGCGTGTGAGGGTCTGCGCTGTGCTCACCTACACACTCAGCTCCACACACCGTGTCCTCTGCCTCTGCTTCCTAGACAACTCCCCACATACCCTTCTGCTCCACAAGGTGTGGCCAAGCCCCACACGCAGCCACGCGTGTCAGCACTGGGGCCACCACCTCCTTCCCTACTGACGGCTCTCACTGACATTGCTCTGCACGAACGTGCACGATCCACTGACCTCCTCCCTGCCAGCGGACACTCGGTTCTTACCAGCTGGACTCTCTTACAACCAGGGCTGCTAGGGACACTATTATACCTGGTTTCTGGCAGACACACTCAAGAATTTCTTACAGCATGCTTCTAGGACAAACGGTCTGCCTGTGCTCACCTCTTCCACGTCAGGCAAAATGTTTCCAAACATCTGTGCTACCCTCTCATCAAAAGTAGATGAGAGGGGCGCCTGGGTGGCTCAGTGGGTTAAGCCTCTGCCTTCAGCTCAGGTCATGATCCCAGGGTCCTGGGTTCGAGCCCCACATCGGGCTCTCTGCTCAGCAGGGAGCCTGCCTCCACCTCTCTCTCTGCCTGCCTCTCTGCCTACTTGTGATCTCTGTCTGTCAAATAAATAAATAAATTCTTTAAAAAAAAAAATGTAGATGAGAATCCCACTGACCCACAACAGCGGATTCTGTCTGGTTTGATTTCTGGTGATCTGGTGAGCGTGACGTCAAGTCACAGTGGTTTAACCTGTGTCACCATGGAGGCCACACGTTTCATAACCTGACAGGTACTTCTTGCCTTCCGCTGTCCCATTGTCCTTAGGCAAATACTTACGGATGTGGTCTAGAAACACAGTAATGCATGACACTCCACAAAGTGTTAACAAGAAAGATGCCCGGCTAATACACATCCCAAAGATCTTAGCTTCAGTCGTGTCAAACTCATCACGGGAAGTATCTAAATATCAGGTCCAGATTACGCCTCCCCCACCAAAGTGGATGGGCCCCCTGCAGAAAGGACTGATTCTAGGCCAGAGGAAGGAAAACACAAGATGAACCTTAGTGTGTGCCAGCAAGGAAGGGCTCAGTGACCAGGACATGTCAACCGCACAGGAGGCCCAGCATGAGGGCTCCATCAGGTCAAAACACACAGTAACAGAAGGGGGGTCCCGGGCAGCAAATGATGGAGGGGCATAAAGAGACCTGAGTGGAGTGGGTTAGACCAGCACCTGACAAATTCCACAAGCCGAGACACTTATATCTGTGCCTTCCCCGCCAATAAATTACACCTCAGTGTGATCGAACTC